GTGCTGAGATTTCTGCAGCCTCCAGGAGACCCCGCAGTGCAGTGTGAGAAGCTGTCAGGTTCTGAAGTTTCTTGGAAGGCAAAATCCCATGGTAATTTTCAAATGGCCAGCTTAAGCAATATATCTGGTGCTATGCCCAGGGCTCTTTTATAGGGACTTTTTCCCCCTACTGTGCTGCATTCAAAGAGTGAAAACCTTTTTTTTTAAGTTTAGTTGTTAATATTTTACATTTCATTTTGTTTCTGACAGGCAACTTCAAAAGATGGTCAATGATATTAAGAACAATGAAGGTGGAATCATGAACAAAATAAAAAAGTAAGTCTCTACTCACATACTTATTTAGATAAAATAAGCCAGCCCGTGCAGAGCAGGGAACAGGCAGCTCCAGCCCGCTCAGCTTGTCCTCCTTACCTACCCTCAGTGACTCGGGCCACAAGCCAAGCGTGTTGGCGGTACTCAGGGGACTGAGGTTTTCTTTCTCATGCAGAAGCGGTGAGTTCGCCCGTTGAGAGCACCTAACAAATGTCAAAGCAAGACTCCCTTTGCCGAAATCCAAAGATGCTGAAAAACTGCCCTATAGCATCTTTGGGATGCTCTCAGTGTTGTGTGGATTTTTCTTTTTCTTTTTCTTTCTTTTTAAAGCAGGGTTTTGCTGTGCAGGTCAGGCTGGACTTGAGCTCATTTTTTAGCCCAGGCTGGTCTTGAACTCACAAAGATCCTCCTACCTCAGCCTCCTGTGTGCTGGGATTACTGACAAACCGTCTTTTCCTTGACTTCCCTGTTTTTCGGGGGTTTTTTTAAGACAGGGTTTTCCTAACTTCCCACCCTGGGCCTGATTTGTGATTCTCCTGCCTTAGTCTCCCGGAGTGCTGGGTTTGCAGGCATGCACACCACCAGACCAGGCTCCTTCTGATTTCTTAATTAGTGCCTTACAATATGTTTTTAACAGGAACTTGGAGGAAAAAAAGCTAGAACCCTCAATCTTTTTATGTAACAAACCCATCAAGCTTTACAAAAAGGAGAGAGGACAAGGAGAAGGAGGAGGAAAAAGAATAGAATAAAAACTGTACATGCCTTCACTTGCCACTCAAAATCTGAGTCAAGTGGAATGGGGAAATGACATTTTGTTAATTTTTGTTTTTAAATGAAAATAATGCAGTGGGGGGAAAGCAAGGGATTCAGAATTGTATGAAATAAAAATTCCCCATTTCCTCCATCTCCACCCTAACCCACTACCCAGAAACACATATTGTCATGAGTAAGTTCAGTATATGTCCACACACATGTGTATGTCTGCTCCCATGGTACATGGTCTGTACACATTTTCATCATGATATCGTAGTACATGTACCATTCTACCAAATTGCCTTGTTGGTTTTACTTAACATTATATCATAGACACCTTAATTAGTATGCAAAAATAAGCCAAACCCTTCTTTGTATAGCTGGCTGATATATTTTGTCTACTAGAAGTACATTATAATTAAGTGAACCAGCTATATAGAAGGAGACGTTATGGAGAACAGCACAAGGTTTGGAAATGACTTGATCCCGTCAAACTGAAATTCTTTCGCTATTTCTTTTCATTTAGCCATCACAAACAAGACTTCACTAAATACTTTTTGACAGGTTGGATGGCAGCTTCCTGTAGGGTAACTTCCTGAAATGAAGTGAAATTGTTGCATAGAAAGAGTAGTGCCTTTACGTTTTGATTACTAAGTTCCCACTCCCCAGATTTTGTGCTATCATCAATGGAGACAATCTCTTCATTCTTTCTGATCTTTCCTAAACTTAAATGCAAACAGTCACTTCTCAGAGGTCATCGTAAAGCATGGTGTCCTGCTCATGGGACAGTGGTCATCCAACGAAGAGAACTGGTCTTCACAGTCTGTCCCATGACTAGCTTAGACTCACGTGACTGTTTTCACTGTTGCCTCTCGTGCGTATGGGATCGCATTCTCCACGAACAAGTCTCGAAAGTCCCTGTCACAGTCGCTGGCAGGTCTGGACGAATTCCTGCACAATTTTCAGACTTATAATATGCCGCTTCTTGCTGCACAGAGTGCTCCTCTTTCCATGCCAGCCATACTCACAGCAGCCCGTTGTTTTTTTATAAGCAGAATGTATTTATTGAGAGAAAGAAAGCTCCTGTCCCGAGAGAGGGCCGGGGGTGGGGGACGAGCGGGTAGTTTCCTCCCCCAGCAGCCAGTTTTCCTGACAGTTTTTCTTTTTCTTTTTAAATTCCAACAGCCACCCAATAAGGTTCTAATTTATTTCATGTAACCTGAATCTTTGAAATGAAGGCACATAGAGACTACCATACAAATGCACTAGAAAATAATAACTATTGACCAAGTATCTATCGAAGTTCACTTTTTTAAAAATTTATTTATGTGTGTGTATGTGTGTGTGTGTGTGTGTGGCCAGCTCAGCCCACCAGGGGGCGGGGCCGGCTGGCATGTGGTGCTGGGGGATTGAACCGCGGTCCCTGTGCTTTGCTAAGCCTGTTCTAAGTAGGTGCTTTAGACCACTGAGCCATCTCACCAGCTCCTTGAAGTTCATTTATAATACACATAATTTGAAAGAACCAATCTAGTTAACGTTCAAGAATTGTTTTGTGAGTAATGAAAGGAATGCCAGCTCTGGACATCATTCCTAAATAATTACTCTTCGGAATTTGGGGATATTGCGTCATGTAGGAGACAACTAAATCTTTTGCAAATAGGAAGGGATGTAGATGTGGAGGGTTGGGAGCAGAAAAAAAGTATGTGTACTTACTCCCTGAGATGAATGTAAGCACTGTCTGCTGAAAACACGTACTAGAGTAATGAAAACATTTTTAAAAAGAAACTCTATGAGATAAAATTGATTTATGTATTAATTTATGTATTAAATTATTATGTGTTAATATATTTATATATATCACATACCTCTACACCAAGCACCACAGTCTTTGCACTGAGAAACTAAGGATTCAATTGATAATCTGTGAGTTTATCTGGCTATTTGAGTCAGGGTTTTCTGTGACAAGGAAAATAGCAACATCAAAGTCCTAGTGATTTACAACAATAAGTCTGACTGTTTCCAGCTCTGGGTCATCGGTGGCTCTTCTGGGTTTGGCTGGAACCAAATTTAAGTATGATTCGTGTGCCTTTCACTCTGGCTAAGAAGTAGGGGTGCATAAAAGGCCAAGGCAGCCCACAAATGCACATTTAGAGCCTCTGCTTGAGGATAGTCCGTATCACGTTTCTGACAGTTTCTATTTCAAGCATGTTCCCACTGTCTCTGAGAGAACCTTTTATTGACAAATCCTGTTTTTTCTTAGCTTGGAAAATATGGCCACTGTGGTTATGACCTTGGTCAAAGTCAGGGGCTCCCAGGTCCACAACGACCTGCAGTGCAGTTCTGCCTGAGGCCGGCAGCAGGTGCTCCCTTGAAAGAGGAAGCAGAGTTGAATGCCCCGTTCCTTTCCTAAAGGCTGTGACAGAGCTGTCACGCATCGATGGTCCCACAAGCGCAGCGTTGGCAGCTGCTGTGTAGCTGCCGCTACCAAGTAAAATCCTCACTCCATCTTTCATTCCTGACCTGCCTTCCCCCTCTCTGAGTTTGCCCACTGTTCCCTGAGGAGGAGAGGGCCTTGAGACCCCCCTTCTTTCTTTTACCATAACGATGGCACTGGTGGACACCAGTTGGCTTCTGTCTTTGAAATTTGACTGTTCTCATGAATCACGCCAAGTAACAAACCCACTTTTGTTTTATTTCCTTTCCCCCAACACTTCGGACAATCTTTCTCTCTGTAAGTTTAATATCTTTCCCAGAACAACCTGTTGAATCATAATGAGGATAAAAATGAGAAAAAATAAGAATTGCTATACATATACCAACTCTTTTGGGGGCAAAATTATAATTCTAGTTTGTAAAGTTCCTTAAATCAAACTTTTAGAAGAAGTGAAATAAGCCTTATATGTCATGATTACCTCTACATTATAAGGATATATTTTAGTAAAAAAGCCCACTTGACGTATTTTATTTGTATACATTTTAAATTTCTTTCAGCAAATTATTCTTAAACAGAAATAATTTTTTTTTTCGGAAGTGGGGATTGAATTCAAGCCCTTGCACTTGCCAGGGAAGCGCTTATTCCACTGAGCCATCTCCCCGGCCCTTGTTATCTTATTTTTAAAAGTATTTGTAAACTATTTTAATACAGCTCATTTTTTGGAAACCTTTCTATCAATCAACCAACCCTTACCTTCGGACCTCTGCACTCAGGGCCTCGTGGGGCTCAGAGAGTTTTCATACCAGGTGCTGGGGCGGGAAATCCCTCACTAATGACCTGACTACATTTACAATAGACGAAATCTTTCCAAGTGGTGGGTCCCAAAGAAGGCTTTCTTCTGTTAGCTGGCTGTGCTCTCTAGACTATGGGCTTATGTTATGGACCTCGGCCTCTTCTGTCCTACCCACTGACTCTTGGTCCGATGGCTGTTTTCTAGGTTGAAAGGCAAAGCACCTCCAAGAGTTCCTCGAAGAGACTATGCATTAGGTAAGAGTGTTTCTAAAATACTTTAACTGACTTTTTTGTTTGAAAGGGAACTGTATTCTACTCATTTGAAAATAAAAGATGTTTATTTTAACTTCAAGAATGACTGAAGCCATCAGGCATTTGACTCTAGTTGAGATGTAACCATCAGTCCATCTGTCCATCTGTCCGTCGATCCATCCATCCATCCATCCATCCATCCATCCATCCTCCTGTCCATCCATCTGTCCATCTACCCATCTACACAGCTACTTGTCAAACATTTATTAAGCATCTTCCCGGTGGTTCCAGGCATATAAAAAGGTCTGAAGTAGAAATACAGAGCTAGACAAGTTTAGTTAATCTCCATGTCCCCAGAATGTATCACCTGAAAGGGTAAATGAGGTGAGAAGCAGTTACATATAATTCTAGGGCAAGGAAAGCCACACAATCCTATGGAAGTAATAGCAACAGGACCTAATCTAATCTAAGACATGTAGCGAAGGGAGGTCCAATGAAAAGCTTGTTAAATGCACTCTTAAAGGTTTTTGAAGGTGCTTGAGGGTAAATTGTTGATAGTTCCTGGTTACTGGGTCCTTTGTGTGTTTCGTCCGTGTCCTCATTCCCATTCGAATCAACTTCGGCAGCGCAAGGGTTAGTCTTGAGATGGGTAGCGGATATGGCAGTGGTGAGCAAAGTCGAATATCCAACGCACTTTCTGGAGCAGAAGGGAGGATGGACCTCCGTCTTTTTCTGCAGCATTAAGTATAAAGATTGTCCAATTGTGGACAGGCCTCGTCAGTGCTTGGTAAAAACCACAAGGCTACAGATAATATTGACCATTCTTCTCTACAGAGCAACAGCTAAAACTAAATCGTAATCTTAAATGGTGATTTTTATTTTATTTTATTTTTTTGCCACTGGTCAAAATGGTAATAAATTAGGTTCTTGTGACCCCTTTGGGCACTGAAGGAATCTTACCACACTGGGAAACGCTGACCAACACCCCGAGTCTGGTCCCTGGTGCCACTTAGCCCAACTCAGTGCGTCACAGAATATTTATTGTCTGCATCCTGCCAACCGGTCAGCGAGTTCAGACAGCTGGGCAGAGGCTTCCTGTGCAGTTTGGACCTAAGAGAGAGGACCCTCTCCTGGGCATTAAAAGCTACTTAATCTATAAGTCAAGGAATGTCCTAACTAAATTAGTACAAAAGCATCATTTTCTCTAAGTTTAGAAAAGAGCAAAGAAAACAAAGCGAAACAGCTTAGATCTGTTAAGTACTTAAATCAAGGAACTTAGTTAAATGAGAACAAATTCTTTTTTTTTCCTTCCAAGAGTCTAAATGGTTTTAGTGGAAAAAATTATAAAATCGCGGAATCTTTGGGTTTACAAGGAATCAACATGTGCTGCAGTCCAGCATCCAATCTAGGGCTCAGCCCGCACCCCACCACTGAGCCCAAACACGCTCGCTTTCTGCTCTGACACATGGCGTAGTGGCCCAGGCTTGCGTGGTCCAGTGAGGGGAGCAGAGGCCTCCTGGACATGGGTGTGATCCACTTCCTATGGCTTCCTGGGTTTATTTTAATGGAAGCACAATGTAGGTCCCTAAATATTGCAGACAGTAGACGCAGAATTGTTCTGTGCAGTTTCAAAGGTAGCCTTAAAAGTTATTGGAGTATTTTCTTTTTTTGTTATTTAGTACAGGTTCTGTAGGGTCTACATGGTCTCACTACATAGGTCAGACTTGTAGTAATCCTCTTGTCTTCAGCCTCTCAAGTGCTGGGATTACAGACACAAGCCACCATGCCCGTTCTCAATAGCCATCGCTGCAGGGGGGCGTCAGGGCCGGCACAGCATGCAGGGGATGGAACCCCTGCCGCTGTGCTCTGCCTAAGCGGGCACTTCAGTCTGCTGAGCTATCTGGCCGGCCCCATTTGAGTATTTTCTTCTCTAAACATATCTTCAGGCACTTCAGTTATTTCACACATACTTCAACGCATTCGACACATATTTCATGCCCATTCTGTGTGGCTCTTGCCATGCTATATGGTGACTTAGGAATCGAATATAGTCCCCAACTCTAGGTTCTTAATGACTAGTGGGGAGTAAGACAGCACACGAGATCACTAACGCTAAGTGTGATTTACCGAGTTTCATGACTGTTACAGAGGAAAACAGCAGGTGCAGCGATCAGGAATTACTGTTAGATGCGTGCGTGCTTGGGGGGAGTGAAGGGGGACCTAGGCAGCCAGGAAAAGTCTCTAAAGGAAATGGCATTTAATTTGAGCTCTAGGTGATAGACATGTGCAAATATGTATCATTTGTAATAAGCCAACGGCATTGGATATGCTCAGTAGAGGTGCTGGGAGTTGGCGTCATACTTAGAAACCTACATGGGCGGTCGGACTCGATTTCTGGGTGGACAGCGCTGCTGACAACCCTTCCCCTGTCCGCTTACTCACTGCCCACTCAGGCCGTTCCTTTCCTATTTTGTACTCGGGTGAAAGGCAGATAACATGCGTCCATTTTCATCCTTTTGCCAAATCTTCCCTCCTTGAGAATCAGCCTTGATTTTTCCTCTTGTTTGCCCTTTTCAAAAACTTCCTCTTTGAATCCTGTTGACTCCGTCTCATAAATGTTTTGCAGGCATCTGCATCCCTCCGGTGGCCACAGCTCGGGTTCTTGTCGTCTGTTGAGTACAAGCCTCTTAGAGGTCTCCTTGATTCTTATTTTCAGCACGTACTAGGTGCAGAGTCATGGGTCTCGGCTGGCTTGTTTCTGCGTGTACACATAGCATGCTCCCATCGTTTCCCCTTTCTTAATTAATTAAAGAAAGATCTTTCTTAATTCCATGTGTCCTTAACTCATAAGCCTCAAAGCCTCCCCCTCCTACTCCAGTGCTCTTCTCTAACAGTGTCCCTTCTCCTTTCCTGTCATCTCTGCTTAAAATTTTTTTTCTAAATTCGTCATCTGAGAGAAAACATGCAACATTCACATTCTGACTGTAACTTATTTCCCTTAATATGATGATCTCTAGTTATATCCATTTTCCTACAAATGACATTTTTTTTGCATTTTTTCCCATAATTTTATTGAGAAACAAATAGCAATGAGACAGTTTCAAATCAAATTAGTAGGATAGTTTCAATAATTAATAAATTTCATATTGTTTTCTTAGTGTTTATTTGTTGTACAAGATACAGATATGATACCCTGTTTACAAACATTAGAACAAATCCCTCTATTCATTGAATTAAGAGAATGTAGCTGTATACTATCTTAACTATTTTGAATATACAGATACAAAATGGTCATTCATTTGTATCCCCCTTTTTTGTTTAGTTTTATCATTTCAATATTATAGGTGTGTGAATTCAGCAAAATATTCCAAAATAGTCCAGTAGTCCATAGTAGTATAGGGTCTGTAGGGTCTCACTGCACAGATCAGACTTGCAGTGATCTGCCTGTGGTCAGCCTCCCAAGAGCTGAGATTATCGGTGCGCACCATCACGCCCAGTTTCAGTAGCCGTCTCAGCACGCCCCAGGGGCAGGGCCAGCATGGCACGCTAGGGATCAAACCCCGGCCACTGAGTCTGCCTAAGCAGGCGCTTTAATCTGTTCAGCTATTTGGCCCATCCTAAAGATACGATTTTGATCTTTCTTAATTCCATGTGTCCTTAACTCATAATTCCAGTTCTCACCCCTCACCAGAGAGTCCTTCTGAAATACAATTATTTTCATGTCTCGCCTTTAAATATTTTCATTCCTCTACATCACCAGTGAGGAGGAGCTGCAAATCACTGAGCCAGATTGCAAAGTTCCTCAAAGCTGCCCAGTGACTAGCGGGGGACTTGGGATGTGTCACTCTTCTCACTTAGTCTTTTTCCTTTTGATGGGGACAGAATGAAGCATTCCTAGTGGGCACAGTGCGCAGTGACCCCACTCCTCCTGGGGAGTGGGGTACACACACAGTACATCTTTTTGTTTCCTTCGGGATGCTCCTATGTAGTATTTTAGAATAACAAAAACTGAAAACAGTCTTACATGGGAAATGGGAAGTAAAATGCGATCGATTCACATGATGCAATTGCAGCTACAGAGGATATTTATTCAACATGCACAGAACTCAAACCAGTATTCAGTAAAGAAAGCAAATTGGAGAACAATTCAACATATTTTCATGAGATACCACACATTTTCTGTGAATTCTTATATGTATGTAAAACTATTGAACAGTCTAGATGGAGGTGCAATGAACGTAAGAACAGCGAAGGGGGAAGGAGCAGGAAGGGGAATAGTTGGTCGGTGAATGGCACTCGCTTTGCCTACAACAACCTAATGTCTCAGAGAGGTGGATTCGTGTATTATTTGAATAGTCAGAGCTTTAGGGGGTGGTTCTGGAGGTGCCACCCAGGCCTGGCGCTTGCTGAGCCTGTGCTCTGTGCCGAGTACGCAGCACACCTGAGCTCTTGCCTCATCTCTTCCCTCCTTTCCCCGCTCCAGCTCTTGGTCCCCCTCCACGTTGCAAAAGGTCTGTCTTTATTATGTAGGTACTGATACAGGCCATCTCTTAGGTCTCCTCCAGGGCCAGCACTCTGCACTCCTGAGGAAACACGGATCTGTGGGGCCCACGGCCAGTGATGATATGACCCTCCTCTACCATCCTCTGGTGTCAGGAGCTTGTACCTTTCTAATCTTCCTGATGCTCAGATGTCTTCCCTTTCTTGACCTCAGACAACTGGTCTCTCCCTTCAAGTCCTTCAAATAGTCTTGATGTATATCTATATCTATATCTATATCTATATCTATTTTAAATTTTAGGGAAGGGCCTATAGGGTATTTAGGGTCTCACTACTAGATCGGACTCATAGCGATCCACCTGTTTACAGCTTCCCAAGAGCTGGGATTACAGGAGTGCGCCACCACAACCAGTCTCAATTGCTGTCTCAATGTGGGGCCAGCACTGTGCGTCGGGGATCAAGCCCCCGCCCCTGCTCCTGCTTGCAGGCGCTTTAATCCGCTGAGCTGTTTGGCTGGCTGATACATTTATATTTAATGTGTCTGGGAACATAGAAAGAAAGTCTAACTTCAAAGACTCAACAACTTCTAAGCCTTTGCTATACAAAGTGAAGTGTGATCCTCAGCCCGGCTGTAGCAGCAGCCCCAGGGGGCTTGTGGAAAATGTCAAATGCTATCCCGACAATAGAACTGGGTCACAATTAGAGTCTAGCAAACGTTCCAGGGAAACAAATGCACATTAAAGTGGAGAAACACTGCTATGTCTGTCTCTGTCCTTATTACTTCTCCTAATTTGAAAACAAGTGGATCCTCAAAGCCACTGAGGTTCCAAAAGCTCAACACTCCATCCACTCGTTTTGCCAACAGAGCCTTGCCCAGTCACCTTGGTTTTATGCTCCACACGCAGACACTCAGTTCTGCCCGAATCACCACGACCACCTGCCCGCTGCCCTCCCTGCCCTTCCTTTCCTCAGCCCTACTTTATGTCCCTGGAGCATTTCTAACTGCTTCCCTGGTGCCTTGCGGTCCCTGAGAAGCCACAAGCCAAGGACCTCAGAAGTCACAACCAGTCTTCAGAGATCCTTGTGCTCAGAGGTCTGACTCCCACAGGCCCCTGAGCACAGGAGGCCTTGGAGACTTGGGTCACCGAAGCTCCTGAAAGTGCCTACCTCTTCTTCCTGGACATCAGACATCAGAAGCATTTCCTCTTTCCAATCCTAGGGGTAAATAGCACCCCCAAAACTGCTTAAGCCGGGAGTGGGTTGGGTTGTCCTTAGTGATGACAAACTTTTGAGGGCAGAGGATGAAAAGGGCTCATACTGCCCGAAGGTTGGTGGGAGTCACCACAGTGCCTCCCCTAGTTAGAGTGCAGGACAAAGCTTGTGGTGCATGAATAATGGAGACTTGGCATCTTAGGGATGCAGCTCGAGCCAGTGTGTAGGCTACTGCTTTTAGTCAAATTTTGCCAACCAGGCCTTTTGTCTCTGAAGAATCAACACTGCCTACAGGGGCCTCGTGGCCCGTCAACCAAGTGTGCTGGCCTAAGCAGCAGGCAAAGCTAGCTGTACAAAGGGAAGGTACCCTTTAGCAAACTAAAAGAAAATGTTATTGAAAGTTTCTACCACAAAGAAATGATAAATATTTGGGGCAATATGTTTAACTTAGGACTGGCGAGATAGCTCAGCGGACTAAGTGCCTGCTTAGGCAAGCGCAGGGACCGGGGTTCAGTCCCTGGTACTACATGCCAGCCCTGCTCCAGGGCATGCTGAGCTGGCCACTGAGACCAGGCGTGGTGGTGCACACTTGTAAGCCCAGCACTGAGGAGGCTGAAAACAGGAAGATCGCTATGAGTTTGAGCTGCATAGACAGAAACAAAGAAAAAATAAAAATTATGAAAAATGCAAACCTTCCATGAAATAATCTTAACCAAATTTAAAGTCTTTACAATACAAGAAGGTGTCAAGACACAGACTAAAGTCATGAAAATTTTATTTAGTGAAATAAAAGCAGACAAATTCTGACCTGGGCCATTCTCACTTCTGGGTTATATCTGCACGCTTCGTGGAGGGCTAGGTGCTTACATGAGATTTCAGTGGTGGGAGCCAGAACTGACAGCCTGACACCCAACCGCCATACTTCCTAGTCATGTGGCCTTGGGTAGGTTTTTCAACCTCTCTTAGGCTCAGTCTCTTCAACTGTAAAATAGAGAAGTAGCCCGCACATAGAGCTATTGTAAGGATGCACATTATAGCACATGATCCAGCAACTAGCACATTGGAATTGCTCAGTAAATGGAGTCCCTGGTTGTTATCCTGATTTCTATTTGTCTCATTTATTGCTTCATAATTTTGTCAGTTGATGGAATGCAAATGCAAAGTACCATCCAAATCCAGAGACAAACAGGTGTGCTTTCCCTTCCAGAGACACAAGAACTGTGTAATCCTAGTTAGAGCAGCTCGAAGTAATATGGCTTCGAGGCCCCCACAGCACATCCGAAAGCCCGTAGAAAAGGGTGGATGATTCCAATGGGAGGCTCTGGGGAACACTTTCTGGAGGAGGGGTTTCCCAGGACAAAGGGCAAGGGGCTGGGGAACAGCAGGCCACTAGGTGGCATGAGCACGTGCCCTGTCTGCGACAAGCCTCAGTCTGCTCAAGGTTTTTGAGAAGGCTAAACGGATGCGGAGCTCAGATGCTGCTGCCTCCCGTGTGAGCCATAGCTGAAATTCTGTAAACAATGATGACGACAGCAAAGCCAAACTTAGAGCCTGAGAGAGTCACAGCCGTGACCTCCTCATCTTGCAGGTCTGAAAAGCGAGACTCAGAGATGCTTGGCAGCTTCCTTACGCTCTCCAGGGAGATGGGGCCAGAGCTGAGGACTTAGTGTACCTGACTGTGTACGCAGCGCTCTTTCTACTTCACACTGATTCACACAGTGATTCCAAGACAGCCCTAGAAGCCACAGGAATGGATTTCAGGGCTTTGCCGCGTTGCCGTAGGTTCCAGAAATGTCCTGTGACAAAGACAGGCATGAGAAGTGCTATTGCTTTGCCCCACTGGGATTTCACTTATGGCTTTAAAAATTATTTTTAGAAACAAAGTCAAGGGCTGCAGAGATAACTCACTGGACTAGACAATGAGTTAGACAAGCACAAGGACCTAGGTTCGATCCCCGGTACCACATGCAGTGCCGGCCCCATCCTGGGCATGCTGTGGCAGCGCACACCTGTAATCTCAGCACTGGGGAGGCTGAAGCAGGTAGATCACAAGAGTCTGAGCTGCCTAGTGAGACCCTGTACCAAATACATAAAAAAGAAAGTCAAAAGTGAACAGGCATAGGACAGGGCCAAAGGAAGCGCTCCAAGAGGCACAAGGGAGGGAAGTCGTACGTGGGGTGGCCCTGGACAGTCTGCAGCTGAGGGTCACACTGTAATCTGTGCCCTTCGTGCCGTTTCAGAGAGCCCTGCTGATGAAGAACAGTGGTCAGACGACTTCGTAAGTACTGGTTCCCGGGACTGAGCAGGCAGGTACAAGGGCCCTGGGGGCCTCTTCTGGTTTAGAGGCTTCTGAGCTGCATCCTGGTGTCAGCTGCACAGCCCACAAGGAGGGTGTGGGCAGGGGGAGGCCCCTCGCAAGGCAGCCGCCGTCTTATAATGGCTGACGACACTGTCCAATCTGCACGTCAAGCTAAGGACACTACTGCGTTACCGTATTTAATTTTCCCCACAGCCCCCCACTCCGCCTGTGAGGTAGGTATTCGCGTCCCGTCCTCAGCGCTGGAGCTCACCGTGTGCACGGCAGGGCCACATAGATGTCAAAACATTTCCACATCATTTGGCAAATGCCTCGCCTTACACTCTCCAGCGCTCTATGGCCCCTGACTCCTGTGAAGGAGCCACTACAGCAGTTCACGCAGGAGGGAATCGCCGGGACCAGACACGAGACGCTTAAGTCACTTGATTCCCGTCCAGGCCGTCAGCTCGCAGGACCAGACCCGGAGCCTAAGCTCCTTGCTGTGCTCAGGGCAGGAGCAGAGCCCCGCGGGGTGCGGCAGGCGAGGAGGAGCTGCCCGTGGGAACAGCTGGCAGCTGTGCACTGCAGCGAGCAGACAGCCCCGTGGAGGGGCTCCGCGGCCCCCGGGGGCCTGCAGCCACTTGTCACTTGGACAGGATTTCATAGGGCCAAGGCATCCTCAAAGCCTTTTTCTTCACAATAATTATCCTTTGGTTTTACTAAATTCGTCCAGAATATTAGCCTGCTCCAATCTGAGTTTTAGATTTGAAAGAGACCCGAGAGGCCAGCCACACAGTGACGTGCCCCCATCGCAGAACAGGACGCTGAGGCCAAGAGAAGGGACACAACTTTTCAGTTGCTCAGATCTCAGGGAGCAGTGGAATGAAAGAAGTCGTGTCTACCTCCAGGCAGGGCCTAGAATGGAGCCTGAGCCCGGCTCCTGGCGTTGTGCGCCACCTGGAGGTCAGACAGAGCCTTAGGCGACAATAGTCCCCGCTTCTCCAACGTAAGAAGACAACTGAAGGGACCCTGATCTCTTCACAGTCACTTGGGCATGAAAGCCCGCTCAGCGCCCTGGAGTACTGATTCCCAGAAGCGCTGCAGCTGCGCCCTCTGCTGGCCACACCTCAGGGTCACAGCGGCTGCCAAGGGAGACAGGGCAGGCCACCTCTCCATCTCTCCAAAGGAAAGAAAAGAAAATGATCTTGTTCCTCAATGAAAAGGGTACACAGTGGAAATTCAGAAGATGCAAAGTAAAATCTGGAGAGGAGAGAGAACTTCCCCCACAGGCAAACAACCCAAGTTAAGACACTGATGATAATGCAGGCTTGCTCTGAGCCTCCAGGTAGGCCTCACGCACTCCTGAGGGAGGCAGGCCAAAAGCGAGCGCTGCCTCCCTTCCCGGGATGTGTGGATCATGCGCTGTACAGCCGCGCGAGCAGGCAGTGCCAGCAGAGGCCAGGCCTCGCGGGTCCCAGCACATGAATGCCCACAGGAAGGGCACGTACACAGCATGCCTGGCAAGCCCGCACCGTGGCGCTGCGTCTGGGGAGAGGAGCTGAGAGGTGGGAGGATTTCACTTTTCTCATTCTTTTTGGACTTTATTTTAAAAAGAAAAGAGAGAATAAATTTTCAATGAATTTCAGATTTAACCTTTCACCCTCAACTTAGCAGCTCTGCATATATATATATATATATATATATATATATATATATATATATAAAGCAATTCTTTCCCCTGGAAAGATGTCCCCTCTCCTCCTATTATACCAGTATTTTTCTTAGCTATCAGTATGCATGATAAATAAAGCCGATTAGTTATTCATTTAGTTGGTTTCTTTTAATATCTTTTAAAAATACATTTCTTATCGCCTCCTGATTTTGTCACATGCAGAGTCTCGGCCACCTTGGGGTTAGGGTGGTCACACAGTGCCCCAGATGTGCAGCATTGAGGGAGTGCCCAGGGGGCCGGGGCTGCCGGCTGCAAGCTCAGGCTCTGCTCCCCTTGAGCTGCCTCGCCTTGCAAAGCCGCCTCCCGCCTCCCCAGCTTTGGCGTTCTGGTGACAGCAATGGGCTGCCCCGCCCTCCCAAGATCTGAACGCCCTGCCAGTTCAGAGGCGCAGTCTGGGGCGCTCGACGTGCTGTCTGTGTTTGCAGGACAGCGACTACGAAAACCCGGACGATCACTCAGACTCTGAGATGTACGTGATGCCCGCCGAGGAGCACGGGGACGACAGCTACGAGCCGCCGCCTGCGGAGCAGGAGCCGCGGACGGCGCACCCCGCGCTGCCCTTCCCCAGGGGCGAGTACGCAGGTGAGCCGCCCCGCAGACCCGGCACAGCCAGCCTTTCCGTAGGGCACACAGGAAGAGGAGGCAAACCTGCTCTGCCCAGGGCCCCGCTCCTGTCTCCCAGGCCCAAGTACCCCAGGCAAGTTATGTGGGTGCCCACCCGTAGCCCTCAGCTAGTGAAAGCTTGCCGTTCCAGGAGCAAAGCGCCTTCCCTAACCAGGAACACTGAAAACAGGCAAAAATTAATTTGAAAATTAAATAATAAGCAAACTGATAGCTGCCCTCCGCTCCTCCCTGCCCTCCGCTCCTCCCTGCCCTCCGCTCCTCCCTGCCCTCCGCTCCTCCCTGCCCTCCGCTCCTCCCTGCCCTCCGCTCCTCCCTGCCCTCCTAGTCCCGTAGGAAGTCAGCCCCGAGACTGGTCTCCGCTGTCTTCACGGCCTTCGGGCTCTGGAGTTTCCTTTAAGGCGCCTCTCCGGGACCCTGATGACCTTCCAGAACCCCAGTGTCCACTAGGTCCCTCCGTCCCCAGCCTACACTGCCTCTAGACTGGATTTTTGCCTGGGCACTGGGTGTCAGTGGGTGGTCTAGGCCTGGAATTAGTCTCCGAGGTCCAGTTGTCACAGCTTAGGTCTCAACAAGAGTGGCGATTGTGCCTTTTATTTCCCATTAAAAAAGAATTTATGTCCTAGTTATGAGCACACTGGGAGGGGGACAGTACCAGGGATTGAACTCGGGACCTTGTGCTTGCCAGGCAGGCACTTATGCCTCTTAGCTGTACTCCTGGCCCTATGTCCTAGTCTTAGCAGGTGACTGAGTGTCGTAGTCTACAGCTATGGTCTCCTTAACCCTCTTCACATTCTTGCAAAAGATAGATTCATCTACACTGTACAGTAGAAGGAGGTGAGGCCTGGGAGAGCAAAGTAACTGTGGCAGAGTTGGGGTGTGAGCTGGGCTCTCGCGGTCCCAGGAAGTGGGCCCCACCAACCTGTTCCATGCACCAACTGCCAGACTTAGCTGATGACCTTGACTAATCATTGCAGAGATCCTGGGATGGAGGCGGGCTGTGTTAGGTCTGCTGTACAGACCAGGAGACCACAGTTCAAGGGGGCTAAGTGACTTGTTCAGGGGTGTAGTCTGTCTTCTATATTTTGCTACTTCTGATCAGCTCATATATCTTACATTTAAAAATCTAATTAACCAGGGCCGGGGAGATGGCTCAGTAGGATAAGTGCTTGACTGGCAAACACAAGGATCTGAGTTCAATCCCCGGTTCCGCAAAAAAAAAAAAAAAAAATCTAATTAACCACCAAATAAAATCCACCAAAGTTGCAAATAAAATCTTTGAGGCAGAGCAAAGTGGATGCCTTAGCACCTGGGCTCGGTAAATGGGAAGTCATACACACATCTAGAAGGAAGGAACAAGGGCTGAAGACGAGCAGGGACTAGGAGGAAGACATCAGGGCGTGGTATGCAAAGGCAGCTGCCCCAAGTCAGCAGCAGGACATTGGGGTGCAGTTCAGGTCTCACTGATCAACCATGGCATTCCAAGATGGCAAACACATTAGGCCATTTCTATGCAAATTCCTTAAAATCTGTCTGTCTAAATCAAAGTTAGTTCGCAGCATGAGCTGGGTAGACCGGAGATTCCTAAGCCTTCCCATGGCATGGTAATGAGTGATTTGTTTGTTAAGAGACCCACATATAAACATGAGGTATATAAAGTAAATCCATATTAATACGATGAGCTGTAAAAGGCTCAAGTCAATTTCTGAGGATAACCCACTAATATTATAGACTACTAGACAGTGTTAGATTGTTTAGTTGAATTCAAACACTTATAGTATTTAGATGCCAATAGAATATTCACCTCTGACAGGACAAAAAAAAGGATACAAAGGAAAGACCATTTTGTATTTATATATACAAAATAGGATAAATTTACAGCTACTTTCGCTTAATTCAATGAGAAGAAAGAGGTGTACTAACAGTGTTTGGACAGAATATCCTGTCTGCTTCCTGTACTATGGATAACCACTAAGAAGATAACAATGTACAGTGTATTGATTATCAAAACTGTCCTATTAATCAGCTGTGAAACTGTCTCATTCATATTTATTTCTCAATAAAAAAATAAATAAAATAAAAAATAAATAAAATAAAATAAAAAATTATGTATGCACTGTAGAGATGAACAACAAAAAGAGAGACCCACAGAACCTACTGCTTTCACGTTGTCTTTCCAAACCCTAAGAGAACTCTCTAACATGGATATTATTTTCTTCAGTTTTGAAATGATGAAGTAAGTCCCCCAGAGGTTGAATAACCCAAACTAGTGCAGCTAGCGAGTGCAGCAGGGTCAGAACCCAAATGCATTCAGCTTCAGAACCTAAACTGCTCCCCAAACTGATAGCCCTGAAAAAGAGGCCAGTGGGGATGTGGGGCAGTTGTCCCAGATCCCTGGGCCAAAGGAGGAGTGTCACAGATTTCCCCAGGAATTAGGGAAAGCCACTGAGATTGGAGGAACGTGCAGGTAGCTGAGAGATCACTACCGTGGATACACCTTGAAATCACGGGAGAACTTTTTCGACCTGGAACCTAGACCCTGCCCAGAAGTTCAAACATGGTAGGCATGGGGTGGGGCCACGGCCTGGGCACTGTCCAAGCTCCCCAGATGGTGACAGTGTATAAACAAGGTTGCAAATCCTGCTTCAGAGTTCATCAAGCCGTCCAGGCACAGGAAATTTCCAGCAAAGATACCCTTCTGGGCTTCATCATGTGCACCGATGGACAGTTGAAACTATTTGCTTAGCATGTTTTTTGCCCCACTGACTGTGTCGCTGTCTAGATGTGAGCATCTTTATGTTTTCTAGATCCTCATGGTTTCCACACCAGGAGTGACTTAGAGCCTCTTGTGTTGTTTTTTGTTTGTTCAAGACAACCGGTCAAGCCAGAGGCGGTCTCCACCCTTCAGCAAGAGCCTGCCCGCTAAGCCCAGCTGGCCCTCAGTGCAGGCACGCATCTCCTCCACGCTGCCTGCCCCACGGGCGCTGCCCAAGCCGCAAGTGCCGCCCAAGCCCAGAGACCTTCACGATGAGGTAAACTGACTTGTCCCCCAGGCTGCCTGGATCCCAGAGGAAAAGGGGCGTGACTGGGGCCACCCAGCTGGCAGCAAGCCTCCCTCATTTCAGGTCCTGCTCCTTGACTGCCCGCTCGAGCCCACCAGTGTTAGATGGGAAGATTTTGTTTTCCTGAAAAAAGGCACATACAGTCTTACTTAGGCATCTTAGTCTTCTAGGGTATATGGTGTAGTGTCAATATTGGATCTGTCCCTTTCCTGCTGTCCCCTCTTCCATCTCCCCGGACTGCCTATGGGTCTTTTCTTTCTACCAAAAGGTAGTCTTTCACTGTCTGCATCCTCCTGTGCTTCTCAGCCTGCTCCTGCCTTGCTTTCTTTCCTCCACCTGTTTTTCTTTCTGCTTCCACCTGCATCTTTCTTTTCAGAGCCAGAAAGATGACATGGGACGTGGGCCTGAGACCCCTGGTCTGTGGAAGACCCAGTGCTCTCATGGAGAGCTCAACCCTCATTTCCCTCTGACAGCTCACACACCTCTCCCCAGCCCTAGGCCCCCAGACTCCCTCTTGGGGTGATCCCCTCCATCTTTCCTCTGTCAATGCCTACTTTATAAATGTTCCCTTTGGAATTACTGCCACTTGAAGATGAACAGATGAACTTATTCCCATTGGTATAGTAATGCCTGTGGAAACCTAGTGCTTTGTGGTTTCTGGAGTCTCTGCCTTTTAAATGAAGACAAATACACGCCTCAAGCCAAGCACTAGGACAGCCCTGCAGAGGCAACGGCCTGAGAGCTCTTCATCACCGCCACACATGAGCTTACTGCTGCTTCCTTAATAGCTTGTCTCTAAGTGGCTGTAGATGATACAGATACGACTTCTGCATCCATGACGTCCACCTTGATACAATTTGTACTCCAGAAATTTGTATTCCTCCTCCCTTGAATTTCCCGTGGATCTTTTCTTTCTACCAAAAGAGTCTTTTGCTGTCAAGAAGAAAAATAAGAACTTTTGAATCAAAACATGGGTAGCATCTAGGCCCAAATTTCTGATTTGATCCTTCTAGCTCTGCAATTTGGGGCAGCCAGTAACCGCTCTGAGCCTGGATTTCATCCCTTCTGGTTATTTTGAGGATTTCATATGAGATACAGATACAGCACTAAACGCAGCACCCAGAAGAGGCTGCACACATGCTAGGCTCCTTTTTATAGCAATCCTGTGGTCTCATCTCCCCTGGAGACCAAATGCGTGGAGGTGGCCAGCCATGGCCTGGAGCCCTGAACCTGCTGGTCACCTCTGGGCTCTGCTGTGAGTCCCTAGCCCTTTTCTCTTGCCGCAGTCCACACCACCCCTGCGGTGCAGGCACACCCTCATGCTTCCCATTCTGAGCCCTGGCTGCCTCTGTGACCCCTGCTGTAGAGACAATGTAAAGCAGAAAGCCAACGGACTTGCAGGGCAGAGGTGTGCTGTGTCGACCCTCCGTGCGTCACCCCGAGAGGTGATGCTGTCCTTCCTGGGTGGGAACAGGGTGATAAGAGCTACTGAGGAGGGAGTAGACAGAGAGAACGGCTCCAGGGTCTCGCTATAACTCCTAGTAGCACTTGGCAAATGCAGATAGACATGGACACAGACACAGAATGCAGTGCTTGCTGTTCGGTTTCTCCCTTTCTGTGAAAACAGCGAGTGCAGCCCAGCAGTACAAGGCGGAGTTCTGCTGATGGCAGCCCGCAGAGGCGGCTTGGGCAAGTTTGCACTACTGTGAGAGGCGAAGGACAAAGGAGGCTTTTCTGATGGACAGATGGAGTTGAGATAAGAAAGGAGTTAAAGGGAGGAAACAAGGACCAACATTAAAATGAGACTGAAGCATTAGATGGACAAGGAAGTCAGAGGGCCAGGTAGATAGCTCAGCAGACTAAGTGCCTGCTTAGGCAAGCACAAAGACCGGAGTTTGATTCCTGGCACCACATGCTGCATCAGCCCCAATCCTGGGCACACTGAGCTGGCCACCAAGACTGGGCATGGTGGCACACACCAGTAATCCCAGCTCTGGGGAGACTGAAAACAGGAGGATCACTATGAGTCTGAGCTATGTAGTGAGACCCTGTACCAAATACAGTTTTTTAAAAAAGTCAAATAGAAACATACAGAAATATTCAGAGGAAGCAGCATTTCTGCTGGTACTGCAAGTGGCTAATATTTGACAGATGCCATGTCTAGCTGGTGCACTGAGCATTTTGTACACATGATCTTATTAATCCTCATAACAGCTCTGGGAAGTCAATGCTTACTGTCATCTCCTTTTGCCGATGAGGACACCAGGGTGAAAAGGCATTTTAAAAACTGTGCGGCATCACGGAGGGAAATGGTGGAGCTGGTGCTTGAACTCAGGTAATAAGACCTTGGAGCTCTGGGCCTGCAAAGCCACCCTGTGCCAACCACCACTCCAACGTGCAGCGAGGAGAGAACAGCGCTTCTTTCAACACATTCGTGCCAAGCATGGCGCGACTCCCTGGGCTTCATGGGTGCCCAAAGCAGACCCCTTGTGTCATCACAAGGCAGACAGATCTGTCCTTAGGCTCATCCCTGTGGTCTTCATGTAACTCTAGGAGATTACTCATCTTTCGAGTCCCGCAACCATAAAATTGAGATTAGTACTGTATACCTAATTTAGAACGCATGTATTACTGAAAGAAATCAGTAAAATAATTTATATGAAACTTTTTAATGCACATGTGAATTATAGTAGGGAGACAACTAAATATATGGGTACTTCAAACTAACCAAAATGACCCAATAAATAAATAGGTTATAGGGCGGTGGAATAAAGATGAATTTGTATGTGCCTGTCTTTGTTGCCTGAGAGAAGGAAGCAAGCAAACAGGTAGACTGTATTGCTGAGACATCTAAATATTGAAGTTGATTTAAATGATTTGGAAAGTAATTATTTACCTGTACTTTTTTTACTACTCTATTCTAAGAACTGAAGGGTTTTAATACTTGTAGGTTGGGGTAATGGAACACTACCTGACTTTACAAGATCAGCTGTTGAGGTCACTACCGTCAAGTTTCTATGATTTATTATTCCTGGGTAATGGAGTTTATATCAAAGCACTGCAGCAAAGAAAACATGGCCTTGTTAAGATATAAACTGTGATGTCCTCGATGGCTTACATATTTTTTCAGGTAATCATTTTAAAGAATTGAGGAGAAATGCAAGAAACAAACACTGTATGGCCCCTCTCTTTAGACTCTATGATGGGGAAAGCAGAGCGACCAACAGAACTCGTTGGGATTGAACCAAGTCATTTTTTCTATCATTGCTATTTTCGAATAAAAAAGTCTCAGAAATGTCGTCACTTTAAGTAAATCAGATTCCAGATATTGGAGATGAAATGGCTCCCATTGAAGGTGAAGGAAGAGATGAAAAATAGCAACTGCATGAAGAGGGGAGAGGAAGGGGGCGGGGACCAGACTGCAGTGGGTGGGAACGCGGCTGCTGGTCTGTGAGCTGTCTGGATTTAAATCCTGGTCTGCTTCCTTTTAAGTGTGAGCTCTTCTTTCTCTGTGCCTCGGTTTCTTCATCTTAAAGTAGATCTGATGGTGACACTGCCTTACTACTCGGTTGTTAGAAGGGTTAAATGAGATCACGTTTGCTTGCTGGCTCCACCAACATCTTTCTTATCTGCCTGCCACGGAGACTGTAAAACCTACTTTCAGATCCAGTTGCCTCCTCTGTATCCTATTAATATGAAATCACTCATTCTCTATACTTACAGGCAATTGATTACTGATAGGGTACCAGGACAATGCAGTGAAGAATCATCTTTAAACAAGTAACACTAGGAAAGCTGAACATCAACATACAAAGAGGGAAATTGGACCCCTGTCTCACACCATTGCATTCTACAAATGAATTAAAGACCTAAATGTAAGAGCTAAAAGTATTCAACTCTGAGAAGAAAGCATAAGCAGAAATCTGTGTGGTCTTGGGTTAGGCCACGATTTATTAGATACAACACCAAACGCATAAGTAACAGAAAAAGAAATAGATAAAATAGACTTCAAAATTGAAAAGTTTTGACCACAAATGATAGCATTAAGAAACCCATGCAGTGGGAGAACATTTTGCAAATCATACATTTATTAAAGGACTTGAACATATAGATAATTCCAGTAATTCAATAATAGAAAAGATAAATCACCCAATTAAAAATGGGCAATGATTTGAATGGACACTTCTTCTAAGATGACCAAAATGCACATGAAATGCTCAACATCATTAGTCATCAAGGAAACCCAAACCAAGACTACAGTGAGGGGGCCGAGGAGATAGTTCAGTGGAATAAGTGCTTGCCTGGCAAGCACAAGGTCCTGAGTTTGATCCCTGGTACCACATACACACTCACACACACACACACACACACACACACACTCAAGACTACAATGAACTACCACTTCACTAGGATGCCTATACTCAAGAGGACAGACACTAACAAGTATGCAGCAGTCAGCATGCAGAGAAATTGTAACCATAAGGCAGTGCTTCTGGGAATGAAAACTGGCAGGCTCACTTTGGAAAACAATTTGACCCTTCCTCAAGAAGGGTCAAACCTACAGTTACCATACAGTCCAATAGTATGACCTCTAGGTATGGTTCAAGAGGAAAGATGTCTACACTAAAGCATGTACATGGATGTTTATGGCAGCATTATTCATAACAGCCCCCAAGGAGAAGCAACCTAAACATCCATCGGCTGATGAATGGATAAACAACATGTGATCTATCGGATAATATAGCATTACTTGGCCATAAAAAGGAATGGAGGAGGCCAGGGAGATAGCTCAGTAGAATAAGCGCTTGCCTGGCAAGTGCAAGATCCTGAGTTCAATCCCCACTTCCACCAAAAAAAAGAAATGAAGAAGTGATACATAGAACATGGAAGAATCTCCCCTTCTTTTTAAAAAATGCATTTAGTACAGGGTCTACAGGGTCTCACTACTAGATCGGACTCAAGGTCCTCCTGCTTTCAGCCTCCCAAGCACTGGGATTACAGGTGCCACCACCATGCCCAGTCTCATTCACTGTCTCAGCGCGCCCCAGTCTCCCACTTTTCAATGTAAGAAGAATCATCATCTAACTGAAAGAAGTCACAAAAAATTAACTACAATATGCTCCCATTCAGATGGAATGTCCAGCAAGAGCAAAGGTGTAGAGACAGAAAGTAGATTAGTGGCTGAGGAGGGGTCGGTGGGGAGTGATTCACAGGCGTAAGTTTTATGGGGGGTAGGCAAGAAGAATGTTCTAGTACTACTCCTATGTTCTGTGGTAGTGACTGCGCAGCTTTGAATACAGTCAGCCCTCCTTATCTGTGACTTACACATCCATAGAGTCAACCAATATTGTCTACAAAGTATTTGCTATTGTATAGAATTTTTTCATGTTATTATTCTGTGAAAAACATAGCAATTATTTACTGAACATATTAGGTATTTTAACTAATCCAGAGATTAAAGTACACAAGAGAATATGCATTGTTTATATGCAAATGCCATCTGCTGAAACTATGGGAGGTGAGGATTGGTGTGTTTCGTATTGAGTTGGAAGGTCCTGGGACAAACTCCCCTCAGACAGTGAGAGGTGCGCATATGCCAGGACACACCAAACTGTAACTTCTACCCATCTCATGGGATGTGAATTCTATCTCAAACTTTTACAAAAACCACTCCCTCTCATTCGACTATGAGTAGACAGTGTTCTCGTTACTTTTTACATTTCTTTTAGGCTGACTACGTGGTCCCCGTGGATGATAACGATGAAAACTACATTCATCCCACAGAAAGCAGTTCGCTTCCATCTGAAAAGGGTAAGAGAGAGATGTCTCCCAATTGACTGGAACATGCCAGGTGTTCAGTAAGCAGCTCAGGGGCTCAGGAGCGACAGTGCCCCAGCGGCCGTGCTCGGGGCCACAGCGCGTGCTGGCCCTGGCGGAGCACACAGCACCCTTGAGCGATGCTTCGCGGGCCTGCTTTCCCTCCTTCCAGTTGCGGGAGGAAATGCCACCACATCAAATTATTAGGAAAAAAAACCTTAGCTATTCTTCTCAGCTGCTGTCACTTAGAATGGATTTCTCATCAGACCTAATACAGAAATACAAGTTACCCCATTGGCCTTAATAGTGCACCAGGAAGAATTTCTGCAGAGGCTTGAAAATTTTTGAAAGAGTGACTGTTCTCTGCATTCCAGTTCTTTACATTTTTGGAGTGTCAGGCTCATGAGGAAATGTTTCATTTATAAACCTTACTTGGATAACAAATGCTATTACAAACAAATTATCTAGAAAAGGCCAGTGCCGCATAACCTCAGACCAGACACTGGAATGGGATGTATGTATGGGGGCTATTACCACTTTGCAGAATACAGTTTCCTGTAAGCGATGCACACTCTCACCTCATAAAGCAGCCGTCAGCGCTCTTTACTCTGCCCCATGTAGCAGCCCCCTGCTGTCCTCGCTACACAGCAGCAGCAGCTTCGTGACCCACCTAAACTCCCAAGGTATCATTACCACAAAACGGAACATACACATTCCTTTTTATCCCCACAGAATTCCATGGAGGTTGTGTGTATCACATGTGGCAGGGGAGGAAAGACTGTTAATTTGGCTCTTCGATGCTTGGTTTCATATATTCCTTTGATAAAATACAAAAATCTTATAAAATGAGGTATAAAAATAAAGCCATATTAATATGCTGAGCTGTGAAAGGCTCAAGTCAACAACTTCTGACATTGCCAGTCCTACGGATAGCCCACTACTGTTACAGACTACTGGACTATACTGGATTATTCTGCTGAATTCACACACCTACAATATTTAAATGGCAATGGAATACCCACCTCTGACAAAACTAAATAAAAAAAGAGAGAGATAGAAATGAAGGACCATTTTGTATCTGCATATACAAAATAGTTAGGACAGATATACAGCCACTTCCTCTTAATTCAATGAGAAGAAAGATTTGTACTCATAATGTTTGGGCAGGATATCATGTCTGCATCTTGTACTATGAATAACCACTACAAAGACAACAATATACAATGTATTAAATATTGTAATTGTCCTACTAACCTGTTTTGAAACTGTCTCATTGCTATTTGTTTCTCAATAAAATTAATTAAAAATAAAATAAAATAGACAGAAAAAAACCCAAAAACAAAATCAGACTCTCCAAGGCCTCCAGTTTAGCAAATCACCAAGCTATTGGTGATTATACAAAACCTATTACAAGATAATTTGGATATTCCTTTATTCATCAATGTGTATCCATCCTAAATACTTCTTTGCAAAGCCTTTTCTGAATGGATTGTGTGTTTACTAATAGGTGGTATCCCATTCTTTGAAAATTCTGCCTGATCTATCATTTTTCAGTGCATGGGAATAGTAGAATAAACCTGTATCTTGACTTACCAATATATTTGTGTTTCAGCGCCCATGGTGAATAGATCAACCAAACCAAATAGCTCCTCGAAGTTGGCTTCTTCTCCATTGACAGCTTCAGGTAAAGAATATCCACGCTTTGGTTTGGTTTTGAATCCACTCCAAGGCACACAATCCAGATTAAACATAAAGAAACAATTACTTACATTTACAAATTAGCTAGTGAGTGGGAAGAGAAGACTCACTCTCGTTCGCATCTGCTGCCTGGTGGCACCTCGCGAGAGGAACCCTCGCCTCTTGACCTGTGGATGCTGTCATCCCACCTTGCTGGCGCCTGCTGGGTTTGCCCGTCTCCTGTCCCTGGCTCAGGACATCCTCATGGCTTGGTCCACAGCTGTCCTTTCTGGATATTGTGTTGGTAAAGGCATGGGAGTTGAGCTAAACAGATACGGGGAACCCTTGGGTCCCAGTTTCCAGAGCTCCAGTCCTGGGCCTGTATTTCACTTCTCTAAGGATCAGAGTTTCTCATTTGTAAAAGGAAATAGTAGTTCCTAGCTGTGGCAGTAGAATTCTGAAACTGCGGCATGGCCTCTCTTCCAACAGTGCTTAATAGTCAAAGAGAATAACTTTTTTTTTTTTTTTTTTGGTGGAACCAGGGATTGAACTCAGGCCCTTGTGCTTGCCAGGGAAGCACTCATTCCACTGAGCCATCTCCCTGGCCCCAAGAATTACTTTTCACAGCCGTAGGTTTCATTCGTTCTTATGGTCTTCCCTCCTGTGCCTGAGCCAGTAACTTCCTGGTGTCCACTTGTGACCTGGTTTCCCCCTTATTAATCTGCCTCCTCACACCGTGAGTGCAGTGCTTCCACTACCATCCTCCCCTTCTGCTGGCATGCGAGTCCTCCAGTCGGTTTCTCCATTCGAGGCAGCTCCCAGACACTGTCTCAACGTTTCTGTGTTCTTTCCAAAGCTTGCTGTTTCTTTATCTAGAATTTACCTGTCTGTTGCAGTTGCCACAACCCTCCGCCACTTGACTCTTCTTTTCTGCCACCATCCCCCAGCCTCGTTATACTCCCGCCTCTCCGCTGTGAGCCTCTGAACTCCAGATGCCGCCCACTTCAGCCCATTGCGCATCACCCCAACCCAAGCTGTGGACATCCATTGGTCCAAATCTCAGAGACTGAGCCTAGCTATGCTCAGTCGATACCAGCATCCCTCGAGTCTGAGGTTACAGATGCCAAGTGGTCCTCCAAGCCCTGCCCTATTACCAAGCCAGAGAAGTGTGGGGCCTCTGCTTCTGCTTCCTGAGCACGTTATGTCTCCCTCTGTCTGTCTCTCTGTCTCTGTCCCTCTGTCTCTCTGTCTCTCTCTCTCTCTCTCTGTCTCTCTCTGTCTCTGTCTTTCTGTCTCTCTGTCTCTCTCTGTGTCTTTCTCTCTGTCTCTGTTTCTGCCTGTCTCTGTCTCTCTCTGTGTCTGTGTCTCTGTCTGTGTCTCTGTCTGTCTTTCTGTCTATCTGTCTGTCTATCTCTCTCTCTCTCTTTCTTCAGCCCCTCATCTACATGCACATACATACTCCTCTCTCTTGCAGAACTGAACACAAGCAACACAAGCAATTGGGAGAATGGGCTCTTCTACTGACAGGATCCTGTAAGAGAAAATGCAAGAAAAATATTTTTTAGACTGATTCCCCGTGGAATTATTCATTATAAACTCTTTTCTTATGCATCCTCTCCTTTAGAATCCATGGCTCATTACATTTGGGAGTAGATGTCAGAGCCCTGCTTTCCAGCTCATCTGAGGTCCTGGCCACAAAGGGCAGCATAGCAATGCAAAATGGCGAGGCAAGGTTGCTTCAGTCCTGGTTTACGTCATTACCGTGACATGAACCCTTTCACTGAAACAAATAAATGAGAACCTAAACTTTCCTTTAGAAAAATAGTTAAATAATCTCTCATGTTTGCATCTTTAAAAGCTGTTTGTTTTTCAGGGCCTTCATCCCAAAACACACCCAGTCCTCCTTTTAGCCTACATTGCTCGGGTCCTGATTTTTGGTCTTCGGGTTCTAGCTCTTGTGCCACTAAGTCTTGGCAGCCTTTCAACTCCAGCTTGGGGATTCCACCTCCAGGATCCCTCTCTAGGTTTTGTGGCCCTCAAAGAGTTCTCTTTTGCCAGATAACTCTTGCCCCACACACTCTGCCCCTGCCTAGTCCCCAGTTACTTTGGGTCTCAGTCTAGTCTTCCCAAGTACAGCTCCCTGTAGATTTTTGCCTTCAGGGTTACTTGCGCAGGGGCCCTTAACTGACCTCGCACTGAGATGGGTCCCTGTGATGTGCTCCTCTATCAGCCCCACCCTTGTCCTCGTCCTATGACCCCGCATGAGAGCTCTGTCTGTCCTGTAACCTTCAGCTACACATCTTGCTCACAGCTGTCTCCAGGTGCCTATTTCACAGCAGGTACTGAGGGGGCAGGTGGGTTAGTCTCAGGTGAGCAAGGTCGCAAACATTGGCTATATGTGAAGAATTACATAGCGTGTCATGAGGGCAATAGTCCACTGGGCTTATTACTCACTGCCTTGATGCTAATCAAAAGCAGCTATATTTTAATACTAGAGACATCAGATGAAGAAAATGATAGGTAGGAGGACAGGAAGAGGAAGGAAGTGAGGGGATTTGAGAAGAACAAACCTGAACAAGAGTGAGCTTGTGAGTGTGTGAACAGGATGATTTTTCAAGGATGATTTTCATAAAAGGAATGATCAGTTCACTGGCCTGTGTCACTGGGTCACCATCCACTGCTCCTTTAACTAAAGGCTTCAGAGGACCCTACTGTGCACCTCAGAAATGCCACAATTTGTGGGTGCTCTTTCCACCAAGTGCCATACCATGTCGGTCACCCCTGGTAGTTGCTTTGGTTCTGTGACACTCAGTAAGGTGCTTGATGAGGACTGCATGGGAAGTCGAATACGATGGCAAGCTCTACCCTTCTCTTTGTGCCTTGCTTACTAAAAAGCACAGACAGAGGCACAGACTCAGCCCAGACTCCAAAGTCAGAGAGTTTGTCTTCCAGCTCTGACACTTGGTAGGCACTGGACCTTATGTGGATGAGGTAATATCTGTTTCTTAGTTTCACAGCACCTAAGCATAGGGGTACTGCGAAAATCAAATGAGTCAGTATATAAGAATCGTATCCATAAGACGATACCTCGCTATGATCACCATTCAGAATCCCTTGTGTTCATGTCTTAAGAACTGGCCTTGCTTCATAACCACTGTAGTAGAAGCATCCTGTACAGATCTCAGGGAGCAATTCTGCTTCCCTCTTTTAATATAAATTTTTTCGTTGTACTCTAAATCAGTGATTCTCAACCTTGGCACTGTTAACATTTGGGGCCATATAATCCCTGTTTTGGGAACAACCTTGTGCACTGTAGGATGCTCGGCAAAACCCCTGGCCTCCGCCTAGTATATTGCAATAGAATCCACTGCATTTCTAATTTTCCCTTGGAGTAGCCTAACCAAGAATTCAGAAAGCAAGGGACCTGGTGGTGAGGAAGAGTCCGGGTGTACCTGGGAAGGAGTTGTCCTGCCCCAGCTTCACTCTTGGGTCTCCTCTTGTCCCACAGCAACAGGAAGGCCTGGCCATGAGATAGAGGAATCATTTTCCACCCGTCCTCGGTACCCACAAGAGTCTCTCTGTGCTTCCTTTATCTTTCCCTTCCTAGGAGAAGCAGTAAGTGAACTGACTGCTAGGGAAGTGCCGCTGGGGCTCAGAGGGTCTTGGTTTGAACCCCAGCCCTGCCGCTTATCCTCTCTGAGACTCTGTTTGCAGCACCTGTCATTACAATGGCTTGGAGAATGGCACCTTTACGGTACCGAGCACATTGCCAGCTCCTAAAGGTACTGTGGTGATTGATCACAAGACAATGAAACACAGACAGTAACAATTTATGTGTATTGTGGTCTTTTATGACTTTTAACTTACATACAATAAAACCCATCCATTTTATGCATACAACATTTTTATAAACCATTGCATTTATAGAATAATTATGTAACCATCACCATAGCCCAGTTTTAGACAATTTCCGTGCCCACCCCAACCTCACTAGATCCCTTACATGGTGTTCATTGGTCCAAATCTCAGCTCCGAGCAAGCACTGGTCTGCTTTCTGTTGCTATAGATTTCCCTTTTCTAAATAGATACAGTCACACATCATGTAGTCTTTTGCATCAGGCTCCTTTCACCTAGCACAATGTTTTTTGACCCTCAGAAATACTGCTTTAAAGAGGTTGGCTAGTTCTTTAAGGTTTGCTACCCTACAGTTCTAGGACAGAAATTCTGAATTTGAGAAGGTAAGGAGTGGTGTCCCTTCTTCACAAAGAGGGCAACTGAGGCACAGTGGCTTAGAAAAGGTCACCCAGCCAGTTTGGTGACAGAGAACAACGAGACTCTGTCTTCTGGGTACAAGACTGTGTTTTCCTCCAGTCCTTGTCCTGAGCTGGGGGCTTCCCTCGTCTCTGATTGCCAGAAGACATTTATGGAGAGAGAAAGGAAAGAAGAATGCCGGCCAGCTGCTTGGAGACACAAACGAAGGGAGGCTTAGTAAAAACGAAGTCTAGGCGATAGGTTTGACAGAGCTAACAGACCCGGCCTGAATGGGTGCTCGGCCTTTAAGGAGAGAGAGCCCCAGGAGGAAATGGGCTAGACGACTTATTTTTCAGACAGAATGTCTTCTTTATTTATCTTCCCTGAAACTGTCCCTTGAAATGTATGAGTCACCAAGGGTGTTTTATCAGATCCAATTTAAGTATTCGGCTTTATATACCAGCTAATAAAATGCAATGACGTGTATTGCATTTCAGTTCATTGTCACATACAGTGTAAAAGTGCCAAGTAGTCTGTCTCCAAATTGCTTTTAGAGATGGTATCTAGGTCAGGTGGGCTGTACGTAGGATGACACTGGAGGTGACCTTGCTTCCCAGGGTGCTGGGGAGCAGGGGTACGGCGCACCCCAATGCAGCTCTCGTCCATGAGAGTTTAGGGAAGTCAGCCCCAGGCAAAAGCTGGGTGCAGACACAGCAAGGGAGCTCTGAGTGGCAGCTTGGGGCATTCTACCGAAGTCCACAATAAGGAACTTTGTCACCTCTATTTGTAAATAGGATTTAGGCTTTTTTCCTGTTCAGTGTTAAAATGAGATGGCGCGAAGATACGCGTCTTCCCTGCATGCTGGGAGGGCAGAGGCTGTGTCTGCTCCCTCAGACCTCTTCCTCGGGCCTCCCCACAGCCACTGACTGCTTTACACACAGACCAGCTTCTCCGCAGTGCTTGCTCGCTGATTGTTATGTCAGTGGTGACTTACGTGTGCTCCATCTTGAAAACCGCAGCATGACCTGAGGCCACAGCTAGCCAGTGCGTAGGGCGCTCTCCTCGCGTCCACTGGGAACTGTCCCCCAGCAGCGTGGGCGGCTCTTAAGGAAATCCAACGGTTGGGTTGGACTCTCTGAGGAGCCCTATCAGGAGCCTCCTTGTCTCAGGAGGGCTCCCATCCAAGCAGCCACCCACTGGCCTGAGAAGGAGCAGCCAGCAGGCGCGGAGGACCTGCCTGGCTCTGCTGTCTCCTGTGCAGGCTGCCTTCCGTCCTTGCAGCAAGCTCTGCCCCGCCTCTCTCATGCCCTCCTTCATAGTGATGGTCTGGCTCTCGTCTTTAGGGTGTGGGATAAGTGCAGGGGACGAGGCCCTGTGGGTCCCCTGTACGACTGAAGAGGATGAGGTTTGGGGAGTAGCCTTCGCTTGCCCAGATGTGTTCATTTGTGTCTTGGACAAAGGCCCCCAGAATTTGATAACAGACATCCTGGAGTGATGTGAGGTGCACACACCACACGAAGTGGGGCTGGGGTGGGCAGGGCCTGCCCTGTGTACCGCAGGGGTGGGTTTAGCTTTGGGTGTTTAGGCGCATCTGCCGCCACATTCGTAGAGCGGGTAAAGATGGAGGTGTGAGTTCTTGGCTCCCTCTTAAAGGAATCCTTCCTGAATCCTCAGGATCAAGGGGTCCTGGACTCGCCCCATGCACCTGAGGGTGAGGGCTTGAGAGATGCTAGTATGGAGTTTTAGATCCATGTCTTTTTCTTTTCTTTTCTATTCTTTTGTTTTCTTTTCTTTAATGCATTTGGTACAGGGTCTCACTGCGCAGCTTGGGCTCATAGTGATCCACCTGTTTTCAGCCTCCCCAGTACTGGGATTATAGATGTGTGCCACTACTCCCAGTCTTGGTGGCCAGCTGGCAGGACCTGGGGCAGGGCCAGCATGGTATGCAGTACCAGGGATTGAACCTATGTCCTCGCACTTGCCTAGGCAGGCTCTTAGACCACTGAGCTATCTTCGCAGCCCTCCATGTCTTATTTCTGATCTTACACATTGACATTTGAAAACTGTTATCATCACCTATGCCCACCAGTTTTCTGCCACAACCTCAATGTAACTAGCTCTATGTGTTTACCTGAAAGCAACCTCACTGTGTGTATGTTTCTGAGTCCATCAGGAAGGCCAGCCTGACTGAAACCATCACCCATAGGTGCAGGCCCCAGGCAATGACCCATGCATGTGTTTGTGCAGGTCGAAACAGCGGGGTCTGGGAATGCAAGTCACCTTCTTCACCTGCTGCGCCATCCCCATTGCCAAGGGCAGGGTGAGTACCTGCTGTGGGCAGTGGCTTCATGACATCCACGTGGGCGGAATGGTGGGGATCTGCCACCCTCCGGACTCCCATTAGAAATCTTCCAGCCCCTTGGCAGCCTGCACAGTGTCCCAGCCAGGTGAACCCCTGTTGAAGTCAGAATCTAGGAGTCTTCCCTCCTTTGGAGCGTTAGTTAAATCCTGGGCCCATTTACTTAGCATTCCTCAGAACACCGTAACTTTCAGAAGCTGGTGCCTGAGTAATTTTAAAACCACCTAGCAGATTTCACTTTCACTTTCTACTCCTTGGCCCTCTAAATAAATGCACATGCCATTTATAGCACACACTGGGTTACACAGTCAAAGTAATCCTGCTGCAGCTCCTCGCCAGAGTGATGGGGAGGAGTGGCTTTCTTCCTGAATCTAAAAGGGCTGTGTGAACCGTCAAGTCAGGATTATAATGTGCTAATGTTACAAACACTGACCCCCATAAAATTCTGTTAGTTCACTAGCTACGTTGTTTTATTTTATTATTTTTCGGTGGAACTGGGGATTGAACTCAGGCCCTCACGCTTGCCAGGGAAGCACTTATTCCACGGAGCCATCTCCCCGGCCCCAGCTAGGTTATTTTAAAAGCATACTTAAATATGTCTAAGGATGGCTTGCATAATTATAATCTTAATTCTGCCTCTGTGGTAACCCATGAGAGCTATAATGTTATGGGTTTATTAACCCAAACCATCACACTTCTCACGGCCCAGCTCTGTCATTTGAGGTAAGTTACTTCAATTCTCTGATCCTCAGTTTCTTCATCTCTAACATGTCATTATAATATCCATTTTAAAAGGTTTAAGTAATCATTAAGAGCTCTATCCAGTTCAAAACTTCTTATAAGCACTCAGTAAATCAAAAGTAGAAAACATTTCAGCCCTCAGAGAGAGAGAGAGAGAGAGAGAGAGAGAGAGAGAGAGAGAGAGAGAGAGATTACAAATAAATAGCCAAAAACAAGCAGAAAACTTTAGCAATATTAGTTTCCAGGCTCTGTTGGAGCAAGACACATGGTAATTCTAGCAGAGGCCAGGAGCGGCAAGACTGCAGTCACACTGGGATTCACACTTATCCGGCCTGGGATCTCTGAAAGAAGTCTTAGGTAGGGAGCTAGGAAAGAGTAATCCCCAGATGCGGGCAGAGGTGGCCCTGCAGGAGAAGGTGCTGGCTGCAGCCTCCCTCTGGGCGGTAACCTCATCTCCCCTGGGCGGGAGCCTCGGGTGCTGGGTGCTGGGTGCTGGGTGCTGGGTGCTGGGGCAGAGAGGAGCATGCAGCCACACTTTGCAGCACTGACTCCGGGTCCTGAGTTCACAAGTGAGAAAGCAGCAGGTCAGACCTGCCTCGCAGAACAAGGGTAGGACTCCAGGCCACCAGCTAGTTAGCAGGACTGGAAGAAGAGCAGGGTCCACTGACTCCCTGGCAACGGGCTCCTCTCTGTCCCCTCCCCATCTGTCACTGAACTCTGGGGCTAGAAGGATTGTAACTGAGACCTACGCCCATCCTGGTTTGTATTTCAGGACAGTATTCCTATTCACTTGTATCCCTTTTGTTATTTTCTTTAAATCTGAGAGTAAGGTAAACCAGCTCTGCTTCATCTTCATTGTGTTTTAACACAGCTAACCTCTTTATTCCACAGGAAAATAACAGCTACGTCGCTGAAGACAGTAAGTTAATTACACATTTGAAACTGCTTCCTATTTCTTGTACTGTTTTTTCCTTACGCACTTAAAGCTGAAAATGCTCCCAGCCATTGTGTACACAGCAGTCTTCGCAACCGAAGCTGCTTGCTCAGGCAGTCCTCAGGCCGCCAGGAAGGTGCTGCCCATGAAGACCTCGGCCCCGTGGGGCCTGGTGGCTTCCCTGAGCCTGTGCAGCCAGGCCCCCTGCCTCCCACCACATCTATGGGAACCCCTGCGTTTGTCCCATGCCTCCTGACTCCCGAGCCTAGCATCAGACCACAGATTCAGAATACACTCGGCTTCTCGCCAGAACTTGGAGACATCCCACTGTGTGAAGCAGCCTACCTGGGCCTGCTATGGGATTTGAAACTGACAGCTGTTTAGCAAGCACACGTAAGGTGGAGTCATGAGACCAAAGTCAAACAGACATGTGACATCCCTTGCACAAGTGCTACTGTAGCCAGCTGCCAGGGGGACACGGTATTCCACAGAGCAGAGAGGGTGCCACACCAGGGTAACACTGCTCCTCTGGGGAGGCAGTCTTGGCCACTTACCATTTCATGCAGAGGGTGGGCTGGGGACATGTGTTTTTAATTGTCCTGGTTATGCCTGGGAAAAGAGCTAAGCATCACGGAAAACTCTGCCACAATATTTATTTAACAAATTGCTTGGGCCTTTACTTCCATGTTTCACTCTGTTTAATATCTTTGTCTTTTTTTTTTTAATATAGACTCCAGTTGCTCCTCAGCAAAATGCAGCAAGTGTTTGTGAAGGTAATTTTTTTTAATTTTAAATGATGAATATCTCCTCTAAAAATAATTTAAAATAAAGATGTATATATAAAAATAAGTTTGAATTCCTTTCACTATTTGTAAGCCAATTATAAACATGACTTCAATGTTTTAAACACAATAATCTTTCACTTTCCAATGGGTAGTGTGAGTCGCCAAGCTCGCTTGGTGGGTGGGTCTGGGAGCGAGCTGACCTCTGTGTACCAAACACCTGCTCACCTGAGACAGCTGCAGCTGCCCAGGAAGCTATGCTCTGGCCCTGGCCAGGTCTGCAGGCTAATTTAGAGCCATTCCCCTACTTCTGAACTAACAGTTTTAGACAACAGAATGAAATCTTTTTGAAGATCTAATTTAATCTCTTTTAAAAATCTGTTTAAGTTCTTTTGTTAAATTTTCAAAGGTCAAATGTCTGTCTTTTCGGCGTATCTTCAAAATGCTTTTATGACTTTGTCTTATCATAACTCAAACACTTAATGTGTTTTTTATGACTTTCCCATTTAAATAGTATTTCTATTTGAAAAATATTTACTGGGAAAAAAGACAAAGAAGTAAAAACCATACGTAATGTCAACACTCAAAGCACTGTCAGTGTCCACGTCTGCACCCATTTGATTCCACACCTGGAGGTACCCATGTGAGCAGTGTGAGTGCGCTCCTCGTTTCCTGCGTTAGTGTGGCCGTGCTGACACACATTCTGTTGGGTTTCCTGAGGACGATCCTCCCGATCGGCCCGGTGTGCATTAGCCCTCACCTCTCACCTACAGTGGCCCCGCTGTATGTTCTTCATTCTCCTCCCCCCAGGTCAGTTCTGAGGCACCCCTTCTTTTCTGTCATCTTGCTCTCTTTGCCTTTCCGGGATTCCCTTTGTTTACATGGACATTCCATGCATTGTTCGCATGTCCTTCCACTCCCTGCAGTCTCTTCTGCCCATTGAGCAGGGAGCTTACAGACAGGGTGACCTCCGGGGCCTCTAAGCCTCTGAAAATGACATTATTATAAGCCTCTGTTTTGGATAAGTACAGCCCTTTGCAAAAGTCATAGCTTTGAGCACTTCGAAAAATTAAGCAAGCATGGGTTTTGTACATGTCTCGTGTTTATTTTGAGTAGAGGCAATGGTGCTCAACCCCAGAGGAAGCGAGCAGCCTCGGAAAGCCTTCGAGGAGGGCAGAGGCAGGGCAAGTGTGGTCAGAGTTCCAAGTTGCTGGACCTAGTTTGGTCATTGTTTCCCCTTTGGAATTTACCAGGCTTAGTGGTTGCTGTTGTTTTATGCTGCGGGGGCTCAGACCCAGGCCCGCACATACCAGGCGGGTGTTCTGACACTGAGCTACACCTCCAGCCTGAAAGGGACCAAGTTCTAAACAGATGAACAAAACATCTAACAGCGTAGTCAAAAGTAAAACGCAACACATATGAAATTCAACCCTCCGAGCTTCACAGCCTCCAAACCCTTGAGCTCATCTTAGGAGGTACACCAAAGAAACTGAAGTTATTCTTCCTAGTCACAGTATTTGAATTGAGTTCTTATGACTTTTGTTTCTTTTGGGTTTTTGTAACTCTAAAGAGAAAGAGAGAGAGAGAGACAGCCAGACAGATAGACAGACAGACAGACGGACAGACAGACAGACAGACAGACGGACGGACGGACGGACGGACAGATGGACAGACGGACAGACAGAGACAGAGAGGAAGGGAGAAAGAAAGTAGAAGGTGAGTGTGCAAAGGGTAGCCATCATTGTCCTCTCGCAGCACACCCGTGCTCACACTTAAAGCTCCTGCCCCAGTAAGTGGGGACTCCAGGGGCACGGCCAGCATGTACGGAGAGTGCCAGTGTGCAGCCGTGGCACACAGAGTGGGAGTCCTGTGCCCAACAGCACACACATCCACCGCTGACACCCAATGGAAGATGGGCTTCTGGGAGGACCTCTGGCCAACTTGATCCCACTTGAGCCATATGGCGGGGTTTGGGGCTGGGGACAGACATTTCACTCTGATTCTAATATAAGAATTTTCCTAATCCAGACAGGCCTATACCTGCTGAACGCCACCGAGGGTCTAGTCACAGACAAGAAGGTGTACCGTCCCCAGTGTTTCCTCCTGCCCAAAAGTAAGATTTTTTTCCCTTTATAAAAAAGCTTCCTTTAGTGTGGGGGTTGTCGTGTGCTTCATTACTTTGGATACTGGCACTAGCTTGGCAGGCTGAATAAAAATCCAGTATTTCATTGCTTTATAAAAAAGTGTTCAGCAACTTAAACTGGATAGAATTGCAGGGACTTACTATCAGGATTAACTATTACACACTAAAATATAACACCCTAGTCAATTAGTCAAAACTGAGGGAAACAACTTTACTTCTCTTTAATGAATCTCTTATTTTCAGATATTTCTTATTGGCCACTGGTGTTGATTCTGTTGTAACGTATCTGCTCTTTTTTTCAGACAAATCCATCAGAAGCCCGTACCTCTGCCACGTAAGTACCATGAGACCATGAAGAGGCAAGGCTGGTCTTGGTGTCTGCCAGAGCCAGGTTCTAGCACATCACTGTTGCTTGCAGCTGTGTGGTCCTAGAATCTTCTCCTACCTGTTTCACCATTTGTGAAATAAACTTCATACCATTTTTGATACATTTTTTCTTTTTAAATATTGATTTTCTATTTTACTGGCTGGCCATCTCTTAAAAGCAAAAACAGGGGCCGGCCAGATAGCTCAGAGGATTAAAGCACCTGCTGAGGCAGAGGCAGGGCCGGGGGTTCAATCCCTGGCATGCTGTGCTGGCCCTGCCCCCAGAGCACACTGAGATGGCGATTGAGACTGGGCGTGCTGGCACGCGCCTGTAATCCCAGCGCTTGGGAGGCTGAAAACAGGAGAATCATTCCGAGTTTCATTTGTGTAGTGAGACCCTGTAGACCCTGTACTATATACAAAAAAAAAAAAAAAGACCATACAGTTGTTTTTTTAAATAAGTAAAACAAAATATGAGAGGTACCTCGTATAGTGGTTGGTACACAGAAGAAATTCAATAAACAATAGCTATTTAATTTGGATCTAAAATACATTTTAATGATTTAAAAATATGTCTATGACAGGTATCCTGAAAAGGGGATAAAATCAAATATTTGGATAATTATTCCAAAGTGAAAAACACCTTCAAAACATATCAGTCATGTAACTTAGTCTCATAGAACATAGCTGTTCCAAAGTTTAATTTTCTTTCTATTCAATATAGGAGGAAAACTACCATACATGAGTAATTTGAAATATACTCCAAAATAATCAAGATTAAGTCTATACAAATTGCCAGAATAATTCTCACGTAGAAAAATTTTATGCCGGGTTGGAGAGATAGCTCAATGGTTTAAGCACCTGGCTGGCAAGCACAAGGTCCTGAGTTCAATCCCCTGTACAGAAAACAGAAAAAAAAGGTGCATTTTTACTAAACATATGTTTTGGATTTTAATAATCATTTTTATTCACTTTAAATAAGCTTTTACTAAAGGGTTTTTCTTTTAATTTTGACAATACAAAAGTGAATATGATTTGACTATAGAAGTTGATTTTCTCGTTTAAAAGCTTTATTATATATTTTTTATTTTTCAACCTAAATCATTTTTTCAATCATTCCTGATCGTCAGCCACCTTTGGGGCACTTTTCCCATCACAGGAAATACCAGGATTAATCAAAGCTCTGCCCTTAGGAAGCTTATAAGGCTAGAGACAGAAGCACAAATAAACACATAAACAGGCAATGCCGTGTTGGGTAATTGAGAAAGAAACACGGCACGTGGTGGCAATGGACGGCCGGAACTAATGGAGGTGGGGACGGTTGCTATTTTATTTTATTTTATTTTGTGTATTTGGTACAGGGTCTCACTATGCAGCCTAGACTCATAAAGATCCTCCTGGTTTCAGCCTCCCCAGTGCTGGAATTACAGGGGTTCACCACCACACCTGGTCTTGGTGGCCCGGGGTGGGGCCGGGGTGACATGTGGTGCCAGGGATCAAATCCCAGTCCCTGTGCTTGCCCAAGTAGGCGCTTAGTGCACTGTGCTACCTCGGCAGCCCAACAGCTGCTATTTCAGATGAGGATCTTTGGCAAGGCCTCTTCCATAAGATGAGGTACATCTGTTCCTCCCACAAAGAGTTGGGGTGAGGACAAAAATGAGCTACATGTTGGAAACAGAGCAATATTACACATATTTGGGGTTCTAAAAATGTTGGCCAAGGGCAATCCCACGACCTTCCAAACTTCAGAACCCACCCTCCAGCCCAAACTGTGAGCCTTGCGAAGTGTGGCCACCCACTTGCCTTTGCGCTTCACGCTGGGGAGTGCCATGCCCCCTGCTGGAGGCCACCCTTCCTTTGGCTCCTCCTGCTGAGCAGTGGCTGCCTTCTTTGAATATCCAGGCGCTCATTCCCAAAGCCCCTAGTTCTCTCCAACTCAGTTCTCTCGCCAACTTCCTTCTTAGTACTGGACAACTTCGGTTGCTCTGGCGAGAAGCCTGAGGTCACTTTGACTCTTCATTTGCCTTATTCATACACCTTCCAGCCAACCACTCGGGCCGCTCCATGCTGCCATCTGTTCTAGGCCATCAGCACCCTCGAGGACACTGAGCTGGCCTCTGCTCTCTGCTTCTGCCCCTTCTACTGCCAGCCCAGCCATCAGCGGAACCCTGTGACCCACGTGCAGATCACAGTTACTTCTCTGTTTAGACCCTCCAAAGCTTCCATACCATTTTCATTAAAGCTGGAGTCCAGGGACTGAGGCTGTGGCTCAGTGGTAGAGATCTCACCTTCCACGCACAACGGTGTGAGTTCAATCTCCAGCATGGTGATTTGCTAAAGCCGGAGGCCCAGTCAGAGCCTACCCAGCCCTATGAATCTGATCACAGAAACAGATTCTTCTTGCCTCCTGTCCAGCTTCGTCCCTTATTCTTGTCCCGTTTCTCCCCATGCCAGGTTCAGTGGTTTTCTCACTATCCTTCCAACATTCCAAACCCTTGCACCTAATGCTCCCTCCGAACATTCTTTCCAGAGGATGCCTCCCGCTCTCCACCATGGGTCTTACTGGAGTGCTATCTCATGGAGGCTCCCCTTCCTGTTAATTGTTCTCAGCAGCATTTATGATTCTCTAACACTGTGTATATATTTACTTTGTGTCTTTCACTTAGTTCAACTCGTTAAAATTCAAGATCCAGGAAGGCAACTTTGCAGTTTAGTTTCTGCTAGGTGTACACAGTGCCTTGGTCCACGGCAGCCATTTTTATTTACATTTCCTCTATTGCTCATTCCCTATACCTTTGTATTCCCCTTGTTTCTACATTTAGATTGAGAACTTGAGAAAGAACCACACTTTCTAAAGAAAAACACTATAGTGGGAAGAATCGCATTGTTCTACATTTTGTAAATCTCTTTAATGTCTGGAATCATAGATGCTGGATTCTGCTATCAGTTTTTAATCAGTCTGTTGCAATATGTTTTTATGGTTGAATTATATGAAGAAAACCAGGTTTCACAGGGATAGATAACTGGAAACAGCAAAGAGCTCTTGAGCCCTAGAATGGACCTCAGAGATTCCCAGGGGTCCTCCGAGCACACGTGGGGATCCGTAGTCTTAAGGATGCCCTGGTTTGTGTGGCTGCTGTCCTGCCCAGCACAGCCGTGAGGCCTAGGCATGGCAATGCACAAGAAATAGTGGGGATTAACTGATTTTTCAAACCCCTTTCAGGATTTCCAGAAGGGGGAGGAAGCCCAACTGTGGACGGACTATCCCCTAGTTTTTCACCTGTTTCCACTTTTTCAGAACAGGTATGGTAGGAACTCTTTATTTTCCTTTCTCGGGATCAAAGTCTTTACATTGGTTCTTATAGTTCCTTCACTTGGCCAATACTGTTACAGATTTGTACATGGATGTTAGAGGATATTTGCTTTACAAATATTCATTATGCACCTACAGTGATTTGATTTATACATCATGTTTTGGGTACATAAGTATGGTAAAAATAGTTCAGAATAATAAAGCTGAGCTCATGCCAGCATGGGTTATTCGTTTGTCCCTGTTACCCCAACTGACTTCTACCTGGAGCTAGTCATCAGACAGTATGAGCTGTGGATCTTACTGAATTGTTACCACTAAACTAAAGGACAAGGGCAGGTCAAACAGCTCAGCAGATTGAAGTGCCTGCTTAGGCAGATGCAGGGGCTGGGAGTGTGATCCCCAGGCCTGCCATGCGGGTCCGGCCCCCAGAGTGTGCTGAGACGGCCGTTGAGACTGGCGCGGCCAGCACACCTGTAATCCCAGCACTAGGGTGACTGTAAACAAGAAGATCACTATGAGTCCGATCTACGCAGTGAGACCCTGTACACCCTGTCCTAGATAATAAGTAAATAAATACATAAATACATAAGTAAAGGACAGGGTAGGTTTTGGGAGCCAGAGAGTTTGGTTGAAGGTTAAAGCACAAGCCCTATAGTTTCAAGTGGTTTATGAGCTGTCACTTGCCGAGGGATACAAAATGCCCATGGTTTTACATTGTCTAAGACCTTGCTCAGTTGATTTTAATGTGTATTCTAGATGCCCTGAATCACAAGTAGTTTCTCAAAAATAGCAAATAGGAAATGTTTTTTTTTTCTCTAACATAGATTTTATTTAAACTTTGTAATTTTTTCAGAATAGACGTGTTGAGAAGCTTGTAGTACTGAAACACATAAAAGACGTCATAGTTTAAGGAAAAAGAAAGGACTATGCCTGCACTTGAAGTCTCTGACTTTACAGGTTAGAGCTAGGGTTTTTACCTAAAATTGAGCACTACTGGGCAAGCGCAAGGTACCGAGTTCAATCCATGGTACCACAAAACAAAACAAAAAGTAAAATAGAAATCATAGTATGTGTCCTTGCTTCCAAAAAAATATGATTCATTATTTACAAGAATCAAGTAAGATAATATTCATAAACACTTTAGAAACTATAAAGCACTTTTAAAAAGTAGTAAGATCACAAACACAACGGCAAAGAGAGACAATAATTTATTTAGAAGGATAAATGGGTAATTAGTGAGATTTAGTAATGTTCCAATGCTAAATTTAGTAGCTAAGCCCCAATAGGAAAGAGCCAGTGACAAAAGCCAGTGACTAGTTGTCGCTGTTACCCCAACTGACGGCTCCCAGTAGCCTCATGTACTTGGCCAAAGGAAACACAAAACTTCATCTCACATTATTAGCACAAACATACATTATGGGTTCTTGTGTCTGTCGTGCACATTGAATCGTCTTTTCAGTGCGCAGGAATGGAAGAATCCTTTAAAAACCCTCTGCTTCACAGTGCTTCTGTCTCACAGGAAGCTGAGCTGTACTGCAAGCCGTGGTATGCCGGCGCCTGTGACCGGAAGGCCGCCGAGGAGGCGCTGCACAGATCCAGCAAGGTTTGGCTGGCTCCAGCTTGCCTGGAGCAGGCGCGGCGGGCGTCCTGCTCAGTGCGAAGCAGGCAGCTGGACCGTTATGCGCGCGGGCATCTTTCTGTTGTATTCACTAGGGAGGAGCTAGCGCCGCCCTCCTCTTCCGAGCATCACTGGTCTCTCCGCCACCTACTTGTCCTTCCACCTCAAGGCGCCACCACGCGCCACTGCTTTCCCAGCAGGGGAAGTCTCTGGAAAGCCTGGCGCTACATCAGCCCCATTCGGACGTGAGCAGTGGCAGGCTAGTTGGGTCTATTTGTAGGAATAAAGATTTTTATCAAAGTGGTAAAAAACAATATCTGGAAGGAACTTCCTGAGAGCTCAATTCCAATCATGCAGAAACGCTGTTCAAAGAATTCAGACAATCCAAGATGAAAGAGTCACTGTTCCTTTTCTTCCTGCCTTCTCTCATTTTTATTTTTTAAAATTCCATCTCACTCAGAATATATGACATTTCATTCCTACTGATATTTTAGTCCCAAGTCCACAATTAAACATACTAATGGTGTCCATCCATCCTCCAGCGCTTCTCCAGCTGCTTCTTGGAGAGACTCAGAAAGAGCTGTGTTTACACTATTCCTTGAGGTCTGGCACATTAAGAGCCACGTGGTTCATAGCCTGGGAACTGGAGGACTTGTGCTGGCTGAGTGGAACGTTGTCAGTTTGAGCTTTTAGACACTGAGCTGCTGGACCGCCTTGCTCTGTGTGAGCCCTTGAAAAGCCCGAAGCTAACATTATTTTGTTGCCCTTGTATATAATTTCATACTTTAATCTGAAGGCACTGCAGATTTTGGTGTTGTGGTTATTTTCAAAGTATAATTTTGTTACTAGAATGTGCCTCTGAGATTGTTCCAGGTTGATTTCTTCAGGTAGACAGAAGCCCTTTCTGTACATAAATCGATGTAAGCTTTCTTTTATATCCAGTAATTTTCTTAAATTATAGCCTTAAGGGACTATAGTTGAGGGGCTATAGCTCAGTGGCACAGTGTCTGCCTAGCAAGAATAAGGTCTTGAGTTCAATTCCTGATGACACTCCAAAAAAATGAAACTCTTAAAGGATAATTCTAGTCCATTGTTTTCTTTCCTCATATTACATGTACTATAGATCTTGTTATGCTTTTGTCTCTCAAACTCTATTGTACTTCTTTCATTAGTGCTCATTTCTTAAAATGTCTTGGCTGTTTCCACATCTTCCTTTAGTTCTATGTACTCAATATTAACTTTATTTAAGGCTGAGTTAGTCCTTGGGCATCATTTCTGTATTTCTCAGATAGTTTACCTTTCTCTTCAATTTTTTTTCTTCAGATCAACTCTGGTTGCATTTCTTCTTTTCGCTTGTCCATTTTTTCCGTAATTTTTGAACTTACAAGTCTAGAATACTTACTCTATAAAATGCATAATAAAAGTTAGCGTATTAGGTTATAGAGTGTTTTTTGCTTTAGTACAAGTTCTTTTGAGAGAGAACTGTCCTTAACTAAAAGTTTTAATTATTGACTTCTATTTTCTTTTTATGGTACTTTTGAATGGAATTTACTTAATAATCATTTTGCTTATAAGTAATATGTGAACATGGTTCCTAGTTGGGGATTTTTCTCTGTTTTATCTTACTATGTGGCCCCCTGCATATTTCTCAATCCTATAAAAATAATACTTTAGTTCATTCACACATTGAAAAGTCAGCATTGACCTCACTCAGGATGTTTTATGATCTATAAATTTTCTATATTTCACTGAACTATTTTTCTGCAAAATAACAAAATAAATTTTAACAAGTAGTAATAAACTGTAATTAGGTAATATAGCTCGGAAATTTATAAATTGAATTTGCAGTCTGTGGAAATATAAGCCATACTAACTATGATTACGCTTTTCATTTATTGAACAGGATGGATCGTTTCTTATTCGAAAAAGCTCTGGTCATGATTCCAAGCAGCCATATACACTAGTTGTATTCTTCAATAAGCGCGTATATAATATTCCTGTGCGATTTATTGAAGCAACAAAACAGTATGCTTTGGGAAGAAAGAAAAATGGTGAAGAGGTCAGTAATTTCTCTTTTAATACAGATCTGTAACTATGTACTGAACACAGTGAGACCATATTGCATTGGGTGCTGCAGATGAAGAGAAGGGATGTAAGAGCACCTGGCCCCAGGCTTGCACACATTTCTTAAATTGAGCACAAGATAAAATACGACATTGGAAAAAGTACTATGTTGGGGTACTATATCCTATGAGAAACAGAAAAGAATCAAAAAGGATGTGATATGATATATATATATCCTGGTGCTTGCATCCAGTTACTTAATGAGGCCAACTGACCTATGATATTAGTCCAGGACGCATATAAGTTTTTTTTCAAATTCAAGGTCATGGTCTAGAGTCCAAAGATCTGGCGTCTCAACCCAGGTGCCACTTTAGGAGACCAGGGAAGGAGCCAGAAAAAAATGTAGAAACTTGATTTGAAACATTAAGCAATAGTGCTTGGAACAGAATGAGTTTATAACCACCTGGCATGAAAACAAAAATCACAAGGGGCTTAAAGTACTATCCAAACATCAACTTCAATGTCTCTTTAATCTGGACCAATATCAAAGCCTACCACATCTCACCTTCACTAGCCTATTCTTATAAATGAGCCCTGAAATATGAACTGATATACATGGATGGTCCAGAAAGAGTGATACTTTGTTCTCATATAAATGATCAGTTGAATTTGGGTCAGTAGAATGAAAGTTGTGGCTAAAAATAAATGCAAAATATAATCTAATCAGAGAAAAATCACATAAACAAAGTTCATAGTAAGAAATACTTCACAGGGAGTGGTGGTACATACCTATCAGCCAAGCTATGCAAGAGGCTGAGGCAAAGGATCACAAGTTTGCACCTACCATGAGCAACAGCATAGCAAAACCTGTCCCAAAATAAATATACAAAAAAAGGGCTGTGAACGTAGCTCAGTGCAAAGGCTCTTGATTCAGTCCACATTAACACAAACGCAAAAACAGCAGCCCAGTTTTTCCATGATCTTCTCAGGAGGAACCACACCTACTGGCAGGAAGGACACTCGTCAGTGCTACAGTTGGTGCAGCGCCAGTGCGCCACGCTGGGTGACAACAAACAGCCTTGCTGTCTTCTCATCTGTTCATCTTTTCAGAGAGCTGAACATCCAAAGGGAACATGACAATTCTGGCTATATGATACCAATTATGTCTATATTTTTTCAAGCATCTGGATATTTTAAAAATTTATTTTATTAGTACCTGTTTTTAACATATAATGCTTACATTATTTGTTGATATATATGCATACCAATCTTAACTGCTTTCATCAGCCTCTGCCACTTCCCTGCCTCTGTCTCCTGACCTCCTTGCTTCCTATTATCTTTTATCTTGCTCTTGATCTAGATTTTGGGTTTCTCATACAAAAGACACATACCGTACTTAAGCTTGTAAGTCTGACTGATTTCGCTTACCATTATGATCGCAAAGTGCATCTATTTTCCTACAAAGACTCAAGTTTATCTTTTCCTTATGCAAGAGCAGTGCTTCAGAAGGAGCCCTTCTTCACTGCTGGTGGGCATGGAAACTAGTACATCCACTAAGGAAATCAGCACTGCGATTCCTCAGAACACTAAAATTAGAGATTCCATTGGACCCAGCTATTTTCCCTCTAGGTATCTTTCCCTCAGAATTAAAGACATCATATTACAACGATACTTGTGTTTATAGTAGTTAAACCTTGGAAGTAGCCTATGTTAAAAGTCCATGTTTGTATCTGTCCTTGTGTATATATGAGTGAACAGAGTAACCAGATGATTTATTGTCTGCCTTTTCATGAAGCTATTTTGGCATTTATGGTACACTCTAGTAATTCTGTAGCTATGACAACGGCTGCTACATTTTATTGGCCATGACATTTGAGTTATCCAACATTGATTTTCTGCACATATATAATATCTTAAATACATTTAGTTAATGTGAGCAGGAAAAAGAGAGCAAGAACTGAGGGAAAACTGCACTTAACTATGCCTAATTCATCTTTCTATTAAATTACAAATCTGCTTTAATTGCACTCATTACTTCAAATGGTTCAAGTCCTGCCTAAAAACCACTTCAATTCCCAAAAACTACAACAGAGCAATATGCAAGGAAACATTCAGGGATTAGATGTATGCAATGAGTTGGGTATTAGTGTTAGTGTAGCAATTCTGTTCTATGTTTTCTGCATTCAAAACACATCTTTTTCAATTGGAATTCACTTCAGAGAAGTTGTGATACTTCAGTTTCCTGTCCTTCGCTCTATAAATTTAATTTCTAACTACATTTGGTTAAATAATGTACTAAGCCAGAAAAACAGAATGAAAGTATTATGGAATTCGTCATAAGAGAATTGCAGGGCCGGGGAGATGGCTCAGTAGAATAAGCATCACCCTGGCAAGCACAAGGACCTGAGTTCAGTTCACCTGGGGCTGAATGATTGAAGAGAAAGTGGGGAATAGCATAGTATTTGAAGGTCCCTGTTTCCTTCCTCTTCTCCCTTCCCTAATAGTCATGAAGCCAGGTACCTGAAAGATGACAGGGGCTGGGAAGGCAGCTTGGCGGTCTAAGCATCTGCCTGGTATTTGCAAGAACCTGGGTCCGATCCCCAGGCCTGCATGCTGTGCTGGCCCTGCACTGAACCAGCCACTGAAACCAGTCATGGTAGTGCACACCCATAATCCCAGCACTGGGGAGGCTGAGACAAGAGGATTACTGTGAGTCTGAGCTGCATAGTGAGACCCTATGCCAAATAAATAAATAAATAAAATAGATTTTTTTAAAAGATGACAGGTAATTCACTTGAAAAATTTGACCAATTTTATGAACATTTTATTCCAGATGTTTGATTTTATCTGAAAACTAAAAGTGACAATAAAATAAATTGATACTAATTACTAAATCTGTATCACAGTTATAAAACAATTACTTCTTTTTAAAATGCTTCTACTGATGAATATTAACCTGTGGCATTTTTGCATGCTCAGTGCATTTCATGTCATAGTCTGTTACACTTATTAATGTTTCATTTAAAATTTCAATCACTTTTCAGAACAAAATTTGTTTTATCCTTAAATTAAATTCCATACATGAGAGATTAAAATATGGAAAAATAAGTATTTATGGTAAGAACTTAGCATGACATTTCCTTATTAATTAGGCAATAGGCTAGTTCTAAATGTACCAGTAGTCAAACATAGGTAGAAATGGAAAAAACAAAAACATAAAGCTATCTAGAAAATAACTTTTTCCCTGTACTAAATCCTGAGGCTAATTTGCTACATCAATCTTTGTGTTTCAGTCAGCTTCTCTTACTATACAAAATGCCTGAGATAATCAACTTACACAAGGAAAGATTGACTTTGGCTCCCAGTTTTAGGCGTCTGCTCAGCAGCCGGGCCCTGTTGGGGGCACGTGCTGAGGCAGCACATCAGGGCAGGACCGCATGGCACAGTAAGGCTGACGCCATCGCTGGTAGGCAGCAGAAGAAAAGAGGAAGGAGATGCGGTCTCACGACCCCCGAGGAAGGCGGCCCCAGCGAACTGAAGCCCTCCCCTTCCCCATAGCACCACCCTGGTAAACAATGCTTTGATGCATAGGCCTTCCACAGACAATTAAGGTTCAAATTGTAGGGGCTGGTAAGATAGCTTGGTGGTCTAAGTACCTGCCTGGCACGCGCAAGGACCCAGGTTCAATTCCCCATACCGCATGCCAAGCTGGCCCTGGAACCCTGGGTGCGCCATGCTAACCAACGAAACCGGGCATGGTGGTGCACACCTGCAATCCCGGTGCGCAGGAGGCTGAGACAGGAGGATCACTGTGAATCCAACCTGTATAGCAAGACCGTGTACCAAACAAATAAAGATTGTGTTAGAAAAGATTCAAACTATAGCACCCTGTATCTAGTTTTCTGTAAAGAATGTACAAAATACCATATAATAGTTTCACATTTGACTCTAAAAAGTTACTTCATAACTCATGAAGTAATTTCTCCAAGCAATTAAGCTAATAGACTCTTACAACGTGTTTTGAGTCTTACTAAATATATGAAGGCCCAGAATCCACCACTTTGAAGATATAGCCTTTGTGAAACTAGATTTTTTGAGGCAGAATGTCATCAGGGACCCAGTAATTTACTCACTTGTGAAAGTATAAGCTGTGCAGAGTGGAGCATGAAGTTAACATGAACGTCAATGTCTGACTGATCTCTGTTTTCTTTCTCTAGTATTTCGGAAGTGTTGCAGAAATCATCAAGAACCATCAGCACAGTCCCTTGGTTCTTATTGACAGTCAGAATAACACAAAAGATTCCACAAGACTGAAATATGCTGTTAATGTTTCATAAAACAAAAAGAATGTCACTATAATTGCTTGAGACATTTTCTGTCTCCTCTTGAGAAAAGTTCCCAAACTTATTTTGTAATATTAATCATTACTGATAACAAAGAACAAGGAGGCAGCTATTAAGGTGGTCATCCAATCCTTTCTAAGTTGCCCACATGAACTTTATTCATTGCCTGACGTATGAACTAATATCTGGAAATGCTGAGCTCTCGTGGTACTAATATTCTCCAAATAAATGTATTGAAAATAAATAGGTATACAATATATTCATCATGCAAGAAGATAATAAGAACTATTTTTTTAAAAAAAATTTATTTATTTATGTGTGTGTGTGTGTGTGTGTGTGTGTGGCCAGCTCAGCCCACCAGGGGGCGGGGCTGGCTGGCATGTGGTGCTGGGGGATTGAACCGCGGTCCCTGTGCTTTGCTAAGCTTGTTCTAAGTAGGTGCTCCAGACCACTGAGCCATCTCACCAGCCCAAGAACTATATTCTTATATAAAACAAATCTACTGGAAATGTAGACCTCCATGATGATCACTGGTACATAAATGTAGCTCACTGTCTGCTGTCAATGCTTGACAATTACGTGTTGGTTGAATGTGGTGAAAATAAAACATTGTAGGTAATACATGATATTTGTAAGTGTAGATTGGGGCTATAATAATTGTGTGTGTGTGTGTCTGTCGGTCTGTGGATGTGTGTGTGCACACACGCGTGTGACCATGGGAGATGTAGATAGAAATGAACATTCTAAAAGTTCTCCAGGATTTTATTGTTAGATTTGTTTATTAAAGCTAATTATAGCCTTTTTGATCTTTATGTGTGTTAAATAGAACCTAAACTTGATAAGAGGTTCAAAGTTTGATGATAGAAAAACTACATGGGAGAGTTAATTCCCACAGATCAGAACAGAAAACAGACACTGATGAACACTAAAGAATAAAAATAGACCTTGCAAGTAGCATGGCCAAGGTCTCACATCAACCCAGAAGTGTTTTATACTTTGTTGTATCAAAGCTTTCCTTGCTAATGAGGAAACAATACTGGAATGATAAACCCATTAATTAACTCCAGTAGTTGAAAATAAACTTGATCCTGAATAAGATAGTATCAAAGTATTTTGAAAATGCATGAAGGGAAGTAGTCTAAGCCCTAAAAGAAATAACTTCCATCCAGACTGTTACATACTGGAGAATTATCTTTCAAAGCTGATGAAGACATATGGTATTTCCATGACAAAGAACACCTTAAGAAACTCATGACCACAAAACCAGCATTCAAAAAAATTTAAGTTTGCAGACCAAAAATCAGAGAAAAAGAAGGGCTGACAGGACAGCCAACAGTTTGGCCCTAGCCTTTCAAAGTCAGTGAGGGCTCAGGACATAGGAGAACCTGTACTGTAACATCCTGTAACTCAATTGTGTCCCAAATCTACTGATCAAGGAGATTATGGGGCCACAGAAGAAAGTGATCGATGATGTAGAATGTGCCTAAAGAGAGTCACATGGAGAGAAAACATTCTCTCAGGCTTTCACAGAGAGCAAATTGGTCAAGCAATGGCTGTGACCCATCCACATGGCTGACGCTGACAAAGGATCTGAAAACTGCAGTACAGGGTTTCAGGATAAATCCTGAAGGGATTTGACTGACCTTATCGGAAACAAAAGTTACGTTCCTTGTTATATCGGTCTTGCTTTATCTTGCTCTTAACCATCCAGCAGAAAAGTATGAAAACTAGGTACAAAAAGTAAAGTCCTATTAATATGCTGAGCTATCAAAAGCTCAAGTCAACAACTTTTGAAATTGCCAATCCTATGGATAACCCACTATTATTATGGACTACTGGACTAGATTGTATTATTTTGCTGACTTAACGCACCTACAATATTTAAATGACAATGGAATACCCATCTCTGACAAAACTAAACAAAAAAAAAAAAGGGGGATACAAATGAAGGACCATTTTGTATCTGTATATACAAAATAGTTGAGACAGATATATAGCTATTTTCTCTTAATTCAATGAGAAGAAAGATTTGTACTAATAGTGTTTGGACAGGATATCATGTCTGCATCTTATACTATGAATAACCACTATGAAGACAAGAAAAAGTAATATATTAATTATTGAAACTGTCCTACTAACCTGTTTTGAAACTATCTCATTGCTATTTGTTTCTTAATAAAATTAACTTAAAAAATAATATCCTAGAAAGAGGCAATGAATTTAATAGTATTATGTGATCTAAGAGAATCAATACACCAGGTGGAGTGAGCAATGAAGTGCGAGAGAAAAAGAAGAGAATCAGCAACAGAAAAATAATGCAATGACACAAATAAGTCAACATTTTTCCATAATAATTCTCAATGTGAATGCTCTCAATTCCTTCAAAGATACAGATTAGTGAATGGATCAAGAAACAAAATCCAATGATATGCAATACACAAGAAATACATTTCACCCAAAAGGAAATTCACATACTAAAATGAAAGACTGGAAAATAATAGTTCATGCAATGGAATCCAAAAGAAAACAAAGTAAGCTATCTTATTTTTAGACAAAGTAGATGTCAAGTTCAAACTGACCAGAAGAGGCAAAGAAGGTCGCTACATAATGGCTAAGGAAACAATTCAATGCGAATAGGTAAGTTATAAATAAACATGCACCAAACTCTGGCACTTCATGAAACAAACACCACCCGTCATAAAATATCAGGCATCATGAACACAATTACAGTAGGGAACCACAATGCCCCACTGCCACAAATAAACCAAAAATAATCAACAAAGAAATTTCAAGTTTTTACCAAACCTTTATACACACGGACTTAGTAGCTATCTGAGTGCTCCACCCAATAGCAGAACACATTCTTCTCTAGCACATGGAACTTTCTCCAAAATACCCACCTACTAGCAAATAGGGCACGTTTAAGGAAATGCAAAAGAATTAACGTTATCTCATACACATTATAAGATTATACAGTAAAGAAACTAGAAATCAATTGCAAAAGAAAACATAAATTATGTAAACTCCTGGAAACTAGACAACAAATACACTACTGAATAATAAATGGACCACAGAATAAATCAAGTATGAAATCTGACAGTTTCTAGAATCAAATGACAAGGCCAGTACTATATACCAGAGTTCATGAGATATAATGAAAGAAATCCTAAGTGGGAAGTATATAGCTATGAATATCCACATCTGAAGAAGAGTGGTCTAATTAAATAACCTAATGATGCTCTTCGAGGTCCTAGAAAATCCTGAATAATCAAAAGCTATTACAAGGAAGGAAATAATGATTAGAGCAGAAATTTGTGAAATTGAGACCAAAAAAAAGAGAGAGCTGGTTCTTTGAAAGAATAAACAAATTAGACAATCCTTAGATAATTTTACCAAGAGAGGAATGAAAGAAGCCACGTGAATACAATTAGTAGTGAAATCACACTTCGGCAATCCAGAAGATCACCAGTAACTACTTTGAAATCCTTTAATCCATTAAACTGGACAATTCAGAAGAAATAAATAGATTCATGGATGCATATGAACTGCCAAAACTGAACCCCCAAAGTACAAAAACTTAACTCAATATCAAACAATGAAATTGTGGAAATAATTCTTAAGAAGACTTACTGAAGGGGGCCGGGGAGATGGCTCAGTGGAGTAAGCACTTCCCTAGGAATAAGCACAAGGGCCTGAGTTCAATCCCTGGTTCTACCAAAAAACAATAAATAAATAAATAAATATTAAAAAAAAAAGACTTACTGAAGAAAAGCCCAGATCCTGATGCATTCACAGCCAAATTCTGCAAGAATTTTGGGGAAAATCTAAAGTCAATAGATTCTCAAATTCTTTAATGAAATTGAAAAGAAGGAGTGCTTCCAAACTCATTCATGGACACCAACATCTCTATGATTCCATAATAAGATAAAGACCAAACTAAAAAAGAAAATTACAAGCCAATGTCCTTAATGAACACAGATGCAAAAATCCTGAAATGATATTAGCAAATGGATACAGCTAATCACTGAAAGGACCATACACCCTGACCAAGTGGGTTTCTTTCCAGCAATGAGTGCATAGTTCAACACATGTAAATGAATAAACGTAATACAGTAAGTCCCTGACGTATCAACATTTAAGTTATAACGTATCACAATGTACTTTATAAGACTCACATTACTGTCTTATTAATGAATCTGACTACAAACAAGTCTCCTGGAACAAAACTCATTCTTAAATTGGAAGCTTACTATACACCATATAAACAAAAGCAAGGACAAGAAACACATGACTATATAAATAGATGCATAAACAAACTTTTAACAAAACCTAACATCTATTCATGATTGAAAAAAAAAAAAAACCCTGAAGAAAATAGGCATTGAAGGACTTTATCTCAGTCAGTCTGATAAAAGCCATAATTGAGAAGACTGAATATTTTCCCTGTAAAATCAGGAACGAAAGAAGGATGTCCATTATAACCACTCTTGTTCAATACACTTTTTGAAACAGTGGGCATAGCAACGAAGCAAGAGACAAAATAAGAGGGATATGTAAATAAAATAGATATGTATTCAAATTACCATTCTTTATAGATGCCATGTTCTTCTACATGGAAGATCCTCCCAAAATTCACCAAATGACTGCTAGAATTAACAACCAAACTCAACAAGGTAGCAAAATACAAAATGAGACACAATAGCATACCGGTATCAATAGCATACCCATACACAAATGTTGACAAAGAAATTATGAAAACAATAACATTTACAATAGCATCAAGAAAAGCTGAATACTTAGAAATTAATCTAACCAACAAAGTGAAAGACATTTTTCTACAACGAAAGCTATAGTATTTTGAAAAAAGAGATTGAAAAGGATATCAGAAAATTAAGATATCCTGTTTCTAGATAGAATCTATATAGTCAAAATGCCCACACTTTTAAAACTGATACACATATTTAATGGGATGCTAATCAAAATAGCAACAGCATTCCTCACAAAATGAGAAAAAAATTGTAAAATTCAAATTGAACCAGAAGAGACTTAGAATAGCAAAAGCAATCCTAGACAACAAAAATCAAGCAGTAGGCACAACAATCCCAGATTTCCAGTTAATTACAAAGCTACAGAGATAAAGAACAGCATAGTTCTACCACAGAAACAAATATGTGGATCAGTGGAACAGAATAGAGAATATGGGGGGGGAAGCCCAAGCATATTCATCCATCTGATTTTTGACAAGAGATCCAAAAACATACACTGGATGTAGGATAGCTTCTTCAA